TTTTTSTGTGTAATGTAGTACGTTTAACAAGATTTTGGCAAAATTTAACTTACTTTACTTCAATAAACTTCTAAGTTGATGGCTTGCTATTAATTTCCCACAGATTCCAGTCTTAAAGTCTGCTCTTCGAAGGCAACCGGTTGCTGTACAAAGCGAATGGAAGACAGTTTTTCTTCACTCGCACGATCAGAATTTGAAAGTGCTTTAGTGAGTAAGACGAACGATCTCAAAAACACTTTCGCCAACAGTGCAAAAACTTTCAACGGTGAGTTTAAAGTCRACGCTTGGTCGTGTGTGGGTTTTAGTTATGTGGTTTTAACCTGATCAGGATAAATGTTTTACAAACATCGYAGCTAACGAAGCGAGAATGTAATGTATGTTTTTGCATTCGTTCTTTGTTTTGAACGACGAAAGCAATCGAATTCTCCACGTGCTTATTTTAAGCTGATATACTGTAGGGATTTTATTCCATCGGTAGGGAACCGCGATATTTTTCTTTCGTGATAACGGAATAATCCTTGCGAAGGCAAAAGGGAAATTATAAACAACTCATGTAAATAGAGAAATGTACATCATTCGATCAAAGAAGGCGACTGTTTGGTGAACATTTGACGGTATTATGGCTACAATCTCGCCACATTTAAAGCAATTCTTTGTAAATGACCATAGTTTAGACTATTTAAACAAACGACAGCCACTGAGAGTCCTGATATGACCAGAAATACCAGCAAAACAGCATAGGGTTGTCAAGTCTCCGTAATCTTATCCTCGCTGCTTGGGCATGCCCTATATACTAGTGACAATCTATAAACACATTTCATTTCATAACTACGCTTTTAAAAAGMCCTAAAAACAGTTAATTGTCGTTCCAGTAAGCATGTAAAACGTTTGAAATTACCTCAGAGGTTAAATAGCATGTTTATGTGGAATATTTAACAATCGTGAATAGCAAAATGTCGTCGAGATTTAGAATACCACAACTGGGCTCGAATTACAAGAGCTATCACTTCTAATTGAATTGTGCTTAGCGTTTTCAGTTCATTGTACTTATGACTTGCGAAATATTTTCTGAAAGGATGCCAATTTCTTTTAGTTTATGCGAAAAAAAAATCAATAGAAAGTTTGTGTAGCATGGACATGATKGAAAAGCACCCCGCTATGATATGTCCGTGAAATAGAAGCTTTATGGCATGTTTCAAAGAGTTCAATTAGCAAAACATGATAAAAATAATAACACTGTTTTCGGAAAAGGCTTGTCCGAATTTTACGTTCTTATAAACAAGAGTAATACTTGTAAGAGGAAAATGAATTTTCTCCACATGTGGTTGTTATGTTTTTTGTCAATAGCATTGAAAAGTWGCTGTGCAAACTTCGCATATTGGGTTCATATAGTCAATTCTTGTCGACAAAATTTGCTTTCCATCTGTTTGGCGCACGCTCTTCGATCGAACGTTCGATCAAGAAATTCACGATTTTCMCTTGKTTCACTTGCATGCTGGATTTCCCTTAGGAACCTCTTCATAGAAAAAMATCTTAGAATGAGCAATCGTTGTGATRAAGGATTTCGAACGAGGTTTATGAAATTGATGATTTCGATCATTCGTTCGAATTCGCCATTGATGTGCCCATGAGATTACATTAATGCTAKGTGATCTGTCTGATTCTTTTAAAGAATTATCACTCATTCTTAAAGCTAATCCAAGATGCATATTTTAGACTCTTAGTTAATCGAATCGAGCTTTTGATGAGCATAAACTCAATATCTAGATAACGTACATTCATAATTACACTAGAAGTTATTCCTTTTCTATATTTAGTGTCTAGATTTGATTAAAATTGTGTTTGCCCTGGGCAAATCACTAAATATCGTCAAAGTTTTAAGAGTCACAAGTGTCTATTGTGTTGGGTGGACAGTGTGGTCACAAGAACATTTCTCTGTTTCTAAGTTTTTTTGAAAAGAGGAGAAATCTTTCAAAAAACGCTCAAAGAATGGCAAGCTTTACATATATGACACCACTGAATAGAAATTATGTAAATTAAACAGTTTTGTTTCATGCTGTTAATCTTATTACGAATTTGTGATATCATATCAAACATTGGATTTATCACAGGAGAAATATAAATAAGAACTGTTCAACAAGAAAAAGTGGTAGGAACAGCTTCTCAAGAATGCCTCCTATGGATAAACATGCAGTCAACTAGTTTGAAGTCTTTGAAAACAACTCTCATTGTTTGAACTATTTTAATTGAATTTGTTTAATTTTGCCTGCAGCCATGGATGTTTACTCATGGCAGCACTAATCAGTTATCAAAGAAAGTTAAGATATATCAACAAGTGATAATAATTGTTAGAATGGGATATCTGTCATATTTTGTAAGTTTGTAAGTAATAGTTTGTTAAAGAGTGCACAGTGATTACTATGAAGTAGTAGTGAATTTTAATTTCATTGCTTTATTTACTTGATATACTATGTAAATATATAGCAGTTTGGCTTAGTTTTTGTAATAATAATTACAATGATAAACCAATAGATTGTTATTTTCCTTGTTTTCAAGCTATTACACACTGCTAATCAACTTAAAGTTTATATATCTCTTTTATTATTTTACTTTTATGGCGTGATTGAATTCAGAAGCATAATGTATTAATAATGAATGTAATAACTGAATGAAATGACCTATGCCAAGTCACGGAAGACATCCAWGTATGCTTATGACTACTAACCTGTTATGATGTTGTCTTAGGGCTTGGGTTTGAGCTTTTATTTATGCAACTCTATATTGTATATTATATTCTTAAAACCAAGTTACCATGCTTTCATTGTTTTAATTGGAATCTGATCAATTATTACATGAACAAATGTTATAAATATTACATCATGTGTTTTCCAAAAGAAAGAAATAWCCTTAGGCAATCTACAGTAATGGAATGAGTCTATAGTTTGCATGCACCGTTGGACACCAAAGTCAGCTTCTGTCTCATAATTTTTCAATTAGTATGCACTTAATGACAGATTACTATTCTGTGGTTCTGGTTACTCTGATTTCTGAATAAAGTTGATAGATCTGTACCTATGGAGTGGTATCCAGCCAGATGCTGTCTCTATGGAAGTGATTCAAAGCAGATAATAAAGACTGTCCATCCAATAAAATAGACCTTACAATATCTATACACAGACAACTCATAATGTAATATAAAAAATTAGGTAATACCTTAATAGTGGAGCTCAAATAGCAATATAGAAGAGAAAGATTATCTAGTAATAGTATTTCAAGGATAGTAGAGGAACACTGATGGAAGATAAGATAGATAGACAGAAGGACTAAAGTACAGACGGAAACTTGCGTACTCACAAGAACCCTGTGTAGGTCCATAAAAATGTACTCGATGGATATTCCCTATTTTTTTTAGCTATGGTGATCTGCACATGCTAGTCTTTTGGCCCGYGCAGGAGCTCTGCTATAAACCCTTAAATTTGTAACACTTTTTTTAGATGTATTTGAAGTTAGGGTTAGTGTTATGCTACATATCACTTGTATGTACAGTATCAAGTCTTATCTGTTTTTTCCTTAAGCTATTACTGATGACAATTGTTTTTATTTTGCAGTGTTTTTCACCAACCTCATCAAGAGTTCTGAGGAAGATCTTAACTCTATGTTTGTAAAGACTTATGGAGATTTCTACACTCATCGTTCGAAAGTCTTCAAGGACATGTTTAAAAGTCTGAATGATTATTACAGTGGCAAAAGCCTTGATCTGACTCAAGTCATGAATGATTTTTTTGCCAACCTAATGAGTCAAATGTTCCAGCTTTTAAATGCCAAGTACAAGTTCACAGATTCATACTTAAAATGTGTGACCAAACATATGGATGAACTCAAGCCATTTGGGGACATGAAGGACAAGTTRACTTCACAAGTTAAGCGGTCATTTGTTGCAGCACGTGCCTTTTATCATGGACTAACTATTGGACATAGTGTACTTAGACAACTACAAGCCATCTCAGCTTCAAAAGACTGTGAAAAAGAAATCATTAAGTCATCTTACTGCTCATGGTGTTTGGGTAAAACAGACTTGAAACCTTGTGAAGGATTTTGCAAAGATTCTTACAAAGTATGTCTGGCTGACTTGAAGGATTTAAGTCATGAATGGGAGACCTTCATGGCAGCTTTGCTTGATGTTGCTGGAAAGCTTGAAGGCCCATTCAGTATAGAAAATGTGATTGACCCAATTGGAGTGAAAATATCCTTTGCTATCATGAACTACCAAGACAGACATGTAAATGTTGGACAGAAGGTAACTACCAATRAAAATAAATGTTACAAAGAAGATTTGGATCAATGTTCGGCAACTTTATCCAGTTGAAAATCTTGTGCAACTGACAAAACTCAAAGATACGATATGAGTGTGTCGTACTTGCGATCATTATTAAAGCAAGTAATTTTAAATTATATCATGAATATTATTGTTCACAAGCATCTGAAATTATTGTGTTATTTTGCAAGTACTAGACTTTGTGATTTTGAGATTAAATTAGAATTTCAAGATTTTTTTCTACTCTTTAAGAGCTTCAGAACTGAACAAACTTTCAACTAGTTTGATCATGACTAGCAAACATAGCAAGGTATAAAGTATAGCATTCTAAATTTGAAAGATGACCAATAGTATTATGTTTGTTAAGTTCAAATGTTGCAATTTTGAAAACTTTACAAATTCAGTGCTTGCAAAATTAGGTAAGAATGTTGACCACCATAATGTTCTCAAACATTGCCATTTACTGATGATATGCATGTTTAGCCAGTATCTTAAAGGGTTCTCTTGTAAACCTTTTTTTCTGTGTATATAGATCTTCACTGGCTGTGGAACTCCAAACATGAAAGCCAAAACAAAGCGATCCTCTGACAGTGATTTCTTCATTGATGAGCCAAACAAGAGCAAGATGAAACGTCAAGCTGGTTCAAAGGCACAAGATCCTCCATTGCCAAAATCAGTTCTTGGAAGGTATGTTGTATTATTTCTCAAGCTACTAATTTTAATGTTGATCAAACATTGTTTGACCAACCATATATCAATATATCACAAAGTGATGACAATAGAGAGCAATAAATATCTGTACAAATTGTATTTAGTCACATTGAGGGATATAGTAGTTGGCTCAAAGAACAGAAACACCTGTATGTATATATCTTCAAAATACAGAGCAAGTACTGTATTTTAATCATTTTATTTTTTCCCACAGCCTAACACAGAAGTTTAGAAATGACGTTAAGATTGCCAAAGGTTTCTGGCAAAGGTTGCCATCATCTATCTGTGCTTCCCCCACTTCTTTGAAAGACTCTTCGAAGTGCTGGAATGGAACAGCTATTGGAAAGTATGTATTTTTAGTTCAATGTAGTCATTCACTTTATTCCCATCTTTTACTTCCTTTCCGAAGTCAATTTCTTTTGGTTTCGCTTGTTTGTTTTAGGTATTTCCCATTCCTATTTTCTAACAAGGCTCAGTTTGTGCGCGGAAGCACGTCATATGTTTCTATATCAAATATTTTGGTTCTAAAGTCGTTGACTCATCCTTTGCTTCCGGTTAGAGCGACTGCCAACGTTAAATAAACACGTACGGAAGATAACCCGAGACAATATTTATCAAAATGTTTTTTCTAAAAATGCTAATTTTGACACCTAACACGCGTTTCCTTATTGCTGCACTTAAGAAGGAGAATAGCGTATTGTTGGAAGGTTCCAGAAAAGTTCATATTTGTTACCGTCAAGGTTGTAACCTTTCAAGACGTTGTCTCGGAACAGCAATCTGGCTAGGTTTTCTTAGAATGTTTTTTTAAAATATCACAGATCTTTGACCTTAAATATTATGCAACTCGTTCGGACCCAGTTCGACCGCCTATGATGCTTTGCGGGGGATTTGCATTGAATTTAGTGACCGTATCAGTGAGGTCCCACATTAACCGACCGTATTAGTGAGGTCCCACTTTAACCGACCGTATTAGTGAGGTCCCACATTAATCGACCGTATAAGTGAGGTACCACATTAACCTACCGTATAAGTGAGGTCCCACATTAATCGACCGTATAAGTGAGGTACCACATTAACCTACCGTATAAGTGAGGTCCCACATTAACTGACCGTATAAGTGAGGTCCCACATTAATCGACCGTATTTGGTTTTCAGGTATACAAGTCCCGGTGTTTCTATCAACAATATCGATTCATCTTTAAGCCCTTCAGCGGATGCCATCAATCATCAAGTCAATGTACTCAGAACCATGACATCAAGACTAAAATCAGCTTTAGAGGGAGAGGATGTAAAACTAATAAAACTCCCCGACGGGAGTGGTGACGGGGAGGATGATAGCGGAAGTGGTAGTGGCAGTGGCAGCGGAAGTAGTGGCGACAACAATGAAATAACGTTATCCCCAAGTACCGAGAAGACWAATACCGAYAGTAATGAAATAGACGGAGGTGACAGCATTCTAGGTGGTGGAGTTGGGAATAGCAATGATGGCAATGTACTGGGRAACAAGAAAGACAATAGCAGTACCAGACACTCAACATCGTTTGCTTTGCTTGTACTGGCGTTATTGATTTCAAGAATATGGTAAAGAGAGATCGCTGTAGATGATTCTCTTCTCCTTTGTACTGGAGTGAATTTTTATTTTCTAAAACATTAAGAGAAAGCTTCTCATCGAGGAACGATTGTATATATACGAATATGCGAGTATCGCGCTCAAACAGGCGAGTACGGAAAGCGAATGACTGTTGAAACAACGCTGTTGTACAGAAAGAACYGGGAAACGTGTAGTACAGAACGCTTTTCTATATCGACAAACCGTGAAGTGGTGGCCATTGTATTCCTAGCAGAAGTATTTGCACGACCAACTATAATCTATGGTTTCATAGTGTTTTTGTATCAAGTGTTGATAATCTCTACACGATGGAAAAACATGGTGGAAACGACACGGAAATAGCTGTGAACAACCACTGTGAATGGAGCAGAGGAAATGTTTTGCACTCATTGAACAGCTTTTTATCACTGATACTCATAAACCCATGAAACAGTTAACTAGATAGGCTATTCTTTTGTTTTGCATTTTGTCGTTGAATTTTACACTCTAAACTGCTGTTTCAAGGCTTTATGAAGACCGCTCATGGACATCACTAAATTTCGACGTTTTAGCAAAAAGGCCGTTTCAACACTTGATTGTTAATCCAATAATTTCTTGAAACGACCATTCTTTTAAAACGTCGAATTTGACATAGGCCGAACTTATATATGAACTTTTCARAGATTACATGCATTGCTTTCAATGCATCTGCCATCTTGTACAGCCCTTTGTTGAAACTGACCTACAGGGCATCAAATGTGGGGAWTTTTTTATGAAAATACTATAAAAACTGATTGAAATTTGAACATCTACAACTGGAAGTAGTTTCTTGATAAATTTGCAAGCGACAAACTTGTGTAATGTCTATGCTAGGTTGTTTTTGCAATGCAAAAGCTATCGACGGCATAACCTCATCCTTTGGAGATGTTGCTACAGGTTTGCACGATTTCGTTGCTTGCATTTCCACACTTCTATTTCAAGCTCGTTCTTTTTATTTCCTGCGAGATCAATGTCATTGTTTTTAGAGTTTTTATTTTTGTTGACTTCACATGTTTTTTGTTTGAATTTTTTATAAATTGATAGAACCACCAAGCAAACAGTGCGAATTTTAGAAATCAGAAACGCTATATATAAATATATATTCATCACATGGACACATCTTATAATATGYTAACTTTGAAAAGGAAAAAGTAGATCTCGAAGTGATTTACTACGGAAACGAGCGTTAGTTTTGACATGGTGACGCGAATAAAATTCTGGATCTATTTCTCTAAAATGAGTGTTGCAAAACCATTAGGCTGTCAAGTTGCCATGTTTTTTTATGTTATGTGGTCCAAAGGACCAGTACGTTCTCATCGTTTGATTTGATCGCTAGCATAACATAACTGTAGTATATCAGATCTGTACCTAATTTATCATAAAATACATTTTAATTCATTCTTGTCTGTTTGGTGATTTGCGAAATCCATATAAACGTGCGCATTGAAGAAAATAGTGCGCATTTGATGCGTTRACACACAGGTAGCCCATTCCATGTTCATGACGTGTCACATCGGTAGCCTGTAAAAAGCATAATTCTCTGGGCAAAAYATGTAAGCCCCTTGTCTGAAGCTCTGTCGTGAGCGGGATTGTCTCGAACGCGAGGGGAAGTGGGATGGAACACGTTATTGAACAAGCATTTCTCGGTCTTCATCAAAGGTTCAACAGGAATGTTTTGCTCTGGCTAATGACTAAGTCAATTGTCAAGATATGCAAAGTTCTTCCTAATACATCACTGAGCGCACAGATTTGAGCTSCCTGTTAAAGCACGTGCTTGTTTCGTGGTGTAAGTACGAGCATTAGGCACAATTAGAGGTGTGGTGCTTGAACGGGGTAACTTCCATGCAAACAACGTTTTGAAGACGAAAATAGAACGAATGCGCACGCTTTTACGCTAGTACTGTTATCGGTAGTTTGATCCCAAGGTGTCATCATGACGTAATACCACAGGTAATCCACAAAGCAATAGTTGGGCGGCCTATGCTTGAATCAAAGGAGCGTGCGCATGATGTGAATGAATAGTATTACATCTTTCGCTGTTTTATATCTTATTTTGTGGAAAAAGGTATTTCATTCATCATGCGGTAAATCAACTCTCGATACGGTTCGGATTTGGGATAGTACTTCATGTAAACACAAATACAGTAATATATTAGTAAGTGCCAATTTCATGGGGTCTTATGAGGCCCGATTCGCCTATTGATATGAACTGCTGATCCAAGTTTGTGGGCTCTTTGAAGTTTCCCAGCCACACCGAACTTGTAGTGTGTTCTTATAGACAACTCGCTTCACGCGAGGCAATTATTTTATTTTATTAGTTAACAAAAAAAACAGACAAACAAAATGTAGTTATGTTCAATTATTTTTACTGTTTGACAGTATTTTTCAGCTGGTTTTGTTGTACTAATGGTTTCTACAAACGACAATTCCTATGTACAGAGCTATCTTGCAAACGAATATTAACAAAATGCATAGTGTATATAAATTTATATAATGTACATATACGTAAAATATGACTACAAAATGACAAAAAAAACATTCATCTAATCTCCAGAAATTATAAAAAAAACTAACAGGAAAGAAAAAAATTCTCATGTTGACATAGACCTTTTGTTTCCTTACAATTGTGTGTAAAATATCGGATTATAGGTTAAGAATAAACAGAAAATCATTAGGGTTACTCACTAACTATAGTTCAGTATTTCGCATGTACAAGGCTAAAAGCTGCACAGGTTGTTATAAATTATAAATCACCTTAAATTAATGAAATTCAAGATGTCAAAGGTCTCATTTTTCTATAATTTCTCTATTTAAGTACTATTCAGGGTCTAAATTCAGTGTTGAAAATATTACTTTGAAAGGATTGAAATCTTGTTAAGATTGTATTGCAAGGACAGAAAATTTGTTTAACGGTCTAACAGAAATGCTACGGGCAGTTGATAGCACGTGGACAGCACGTGGATTAGCCCGGCGAATAGAAGTTTGGGAAGAAGTTAGATTAGCAAGGTAACGTATGCTCTTGCAGTTTGGCAGTTAAGTGAGAAAATATAATAATAAGAAATCCATTTTTTCAGTAGATGTGGAGAAAATGAATGTTGAAATTCGAGTCTTGATTTAAAAACAAGCCACGAGCTTAACACTTTCCCAGCAGGACGTGAATACGTTCTTCGGTTCTTGACTAGTGACACAACATCTCTTTTTGTATGAGGAAAAAACTTTCTTATACGTTCCTTGAATGATCAAGAATCACACATATGTCACGTTTGTCACGCAACACTTGTCACGTGAGTAATCTTGTCACGTGAGTTTTTGACGCGGTCATCAACATAAAAATCGATGCACCACGCAAAATGTCATTTTAGAAAATGTTGTAAGTCAACGCATGAACATTGGCGTCACATTTTATACAATTCAGAGGTCCATTCCTATAAAGTAGTTAGTCAATGTGGAAGAATCCCTTGTCACGCAAGTCATATCCGTAGACATAACGCTAGMGTCGATATTAATAGAATGAAAGATAACGATGGCGTGACCTTGTCAGCTTTGTTCCCAACATTAGCATTAATACCCCCATCTTGAGGGGAGTCAGTTGTTCCAAACACTATRTCATCATCCTTTGAATCTCTGTTTGCTGTAAAATGAAGAAAAGTTGGAGAGARATAATTGGTTATTAAATTTCATCTCGATGCATTCAACTTGTTGCACAACAAAAACAGCTKCAAGTTGGGATCTATTTCCTGAAATAGTTATTTTTTGTTTCAAACTTGAACGATGTTGTGCAAGAAGTTGAATGTTTCTCGTCGCTTTTTATGGTTTATTTGTTATCTTACTCATGCAGAAGTTGTTTGCTGTTGTGATTGATTGGTTGGTTCGTCTTATATGTTGGTTCGTTGATTGGCTGGTTGGTAGRTTGTTTTCTTGCTTCGTTTATTAGTTCGTTGGTTTGTTAGTTCAGTGGTTGGTTGGTAGTTTTTGTTTTTTTTTTTTGTTTTGCTTGCTTCCATTAGTTAGTTAGTTGGTTGTTTGGTTAGTCAGCTAGTTGGTTGGGTTATTAGATATTTTTACAAAGAAGTAGTTATACATACTGGGTGTTTCTGTGGTTAATATTCCACCACCGCTTCCTCCACTACCACAATCCTCGTCATTCTCATCACAGCCACTCCCTAGAATCGGTAACAAAATGAAAACCGGTTATCACTAAARCCACTTTAAATGCCCGCGTTTCTTCGATTTTTTCAAATACGGAAAATCGAGCAAACGGATGATCAGACGTTCCCATATTGTGGTCTTTTTCTATTTTTTTCGCTTTTCCCATATTTCGGATGCCAGTAGGTTTTGTATGTTGAGCTTAGTATAATACAGAGCCAGTGTTTATGCAGGATCCACACTGGAGATATCAGCCACCCCCAACCCCCTCCCCTTCCGTTTTCCCCCTTCCCCCTCCCCTAGAGGCGCTACGCAGGCTAATATACTACTACGTGACTGTCACACCTTATTGAACACGTGTTTTGTCCTAACTCTAGATTTACTGTTGATTATAATAATAATACTGTGGTAATATTATTGTGATATTTTATATTACGTTTGCGTTAATGAAGGCCATAGCAGTAAAGATTGAGCCATATATAATGCTGTATTACCTCCACTGCCGCTAGCGCTGCCGTCGATTTCTGTTGGATAATAATCAGGAGTGTTTTTCTTGATGTCAATAGTTATGCTGTCTGTTTCTTGGATGATAGTTTCGATTCGTGATTGATCAGCTGGAATAGTGTCTAGGGATGGAAGGGGGGATGAGACAGGCCCAACGTACCTGATAAAATAACAATATTCACAACATGGTTCAATTTAAAGTGGTTGTGATCAAAACCTCAAGCAAAGTGTACCAATTAAGTCTGATATTGTTCTCAATCTTTGTTTGAAACATTTCAACTTCTAGAGTGATGAAAAGAAATTTATCAAAAAGACAAAAGAAAACATTGAGGTTAAACGCTTTATTTTGTCTTTGTACTCCTTTTTACCTAAGAACAAACGTCAGTTCTATTGATGAAAACGTTTTTRCAATTATAAATTAGTGCGTTCAAAAAGTATAAGTAAGATAAGAGCAATAAATGRGCTGARAAAATGCAAATAAATGTATTTCGGAAATTWAAGTAAAAACGRCACAAGTGGATTTTCTGATTTACGATGATGATTTCTAAATTAACGGAGTTAGTCTCTATTGTTGTTGGCGGGTACATCCATCTCGGCATCAAACGCGCCATGACCAAAACATCGAAAATCTGCGGCTATAAATTTACGATAATGCAAACGGCACCTTTGATTCWGCACGAATATTAAAGCAAAAAATGTTTACTTCAAAGACAGGCGGAGGCAAATTCCATAAGATCAAGTCATTTCCGATGAAAACTGCGCTCAATGTACATAAATATACGAAACGGAAAAGAAAACGCGGGACATCAATGTGGGTTAGCATTTCATTGGCTTGCCAACATTTGACTTCCTTCACAATTCAATCATGTTTTGAAAAACTCCGGTAAAACGCGCTGTTATTTCGACTGAGCGCAAGCTTCACCTTGGAATGAACTACTCCTTGWATTATACTTGAAAATGAGTCATGCCAAAAGATATAATCATGTTTTGGGTTCAAAGAAATGTTGTTTTTATGGACACATGCGGTTTTTACTCACAGATATCTTGAAATCAGCGCGTCTTTGAACGACTGGCATYGTGATTCGTCGTGGCAAATGTAATTGGCCTCCGGCCTTTCTCTTATCTCATTGATATGATTTTTTTTAGAAAATGTGCACTTTATTACTGTGACTGATTGGAAACCAGAAATGTATAGATTTGTTGGCACAAAACGGTTCGTTTGAAATTTGTTCTTCAACAACAAAGCAAAGCGCGGAGACAGTTCACTTTTCGTGCGCAATTGTTAGAAATGCAAAATAAAATCTAGAGAGAATATCAACGCGTCTTTAATATATAAGCATTTCAAGATGGTGGATGTTAGTCCTCATACCTTCCTATGGCTGTTCCATTCCAGCAACTGGCAACAATTACTTTCTCCGTTCTGAGCGCTGAAACTCCATCATATACACAAATGTCACTAGGCATTTCTTCAAAAACTCCCCTTAAATGTCCCATCTTTGTTTTAACATCTTTCATTTTTTGCTTCATATCGGCAATGACTTTTTGACTTGTTTGTCCCAGTCCTTTTGAAGTCGAGTCTGTGCGATATGTAGGTCGACCACAAAGTTTGTACATGTTGTTCTGAAGCAAAGTACCAGACATTAACAGGGGTTTAATGACTAACTGACTGACTCGTTCCTGACTGACTGACTTTGACTGTAGTGGCTGGCGGTGACTGCCTCCGTGCCTAGCTGACTGACTGAACGATTGAAAAACTCGACTCAGTTACTGTCTGACTGACTAATTGAATGAGTGACTGACTGACTGTCTATCTGACTGAAGGATTGACTGACTCGACTCACTGACTGCCTAACTGACTGACGAATTGAATGAGTGACTGAATGACTGRTTACTGACTCACTCACTGTCTGTCTGACTGACTGAATGGATGCATGGATAGATGAAATTGAAAGAATGAAAGAACGGACTGGCTGGCAATAGATGAACGCGCATTCAGATAAAAGCAGGGTAAATGCATAAAAAACACCTTTACTTCCGTCATGCGTAAACCAAACATGCGTAAACGCAGTATGATAATTTACCTTCAACGTGGGGTCATGTATCTGAGGAATCACATTGATCACCGCTATTGATAATTGGTTATAAACCTGAAACAGTTTTTCTTGGACATTATGGGTAGACAAGCCCAATGCAAGATTATCCATTGCATCGTAAAACAAGCTCCATTGTTTTTGCAGTTTTCCACTAGTAACCAGACAGTTTTTSARCACATCGATACAATAGGCTTCACATGGCTTTATACTGCTATCTTCCCCGTTACACAATGAACAATATGTCATTTGCAATARTATCTTGCTGCATCCTTTAGTAAAATCAAGCTCTTTAGCGGCGTTAATGCTCTTCTCTGAGAATGTCAAACCCTTTAGGAACATTTGCATTGGTTTAATAATCTTCTCGATTTCAAGGGAAATTTTATAAGGATTTCCACCATAAATCTGTTTGAAGTTAATTTTATCTTTAAGGCACTTTTCAAACTGGCCGGAAAACATCTTCTGTTCATTTGTAGCGTACTTAAACAGAGGAGGGAACGAGTCTGTTAAGAATTGTAGTACAACTCTAGTGAAGTTGATTTTATGGTTTTTGATGGAGTCTTCAAGTTGGTCGAAAACTTTTCGAACCAGAGGTCCTCCGATTCGCGACAAGTTTGCATGTGACTTCTGCCGCATAGAAAATAAGCTTTGTTCCCTCGCGTTCCGTACCACATCTTGGAAATACCCTGAAAAAGGTAAGAAAACAGTTTAAATATCTRGTATTGAAGTATCACTGGCATACAAAGGACAACACAAAAAAGGTAAGAAAACAGTTCAAATATCTGGTATTGAAGTACCACTGGCATACAAAGGACAACACATCGATACGACTTTCCGCGTGTGTTTAATTAATGCATGTTTTCATCTTTATAGTAAATTACTGTTTTTTTGAGGAAAGGAAAGGGAAAATGGATACCAAACAGCTTTGATAAATCAATAAAGTGTGTTTTCATTGTATTTGTTGATTCTGCTCAGTAGACAAACATTTATGACAGTGAGTGAGTAATCTGTGTCGCTGTACCACAGTTTGGAATGTAATTATTCTATCTCCTCTTCCTCTCTAGACATTGTAATTACGGCAATGAGAAAATCATGGTCCACAACCATATGGTTCCAGTTAGTGAATGAGATAACGGTCTTTCGCTCAAAGCACGCGAACATGAATTTAGTCGTATTTGAATTCAAGCATTTCAAATATTTCGCAACTTTTAGAATCAATACTTTTGCAAACCCAGGGGTTCTCTTAGTCAGACTCTTTGTCAAGCGATGAACTATAACGATCCTGTTCYCCTTCAGAAATTCCTGTTCAATTGAGCAAGGATCAAAGGCCAATTCTTAGGAATCGATGACAAAGGCACTTCATTTATGTTTGCCAAGGGGCAAATGTTTCTGACCGTTTTTCAATCTCTGTTTGCTACGGAATAACAATGAGTGTGGAGCTCATATACCTGCTTTTAAAAACCACGCGGTACACATACACCAAGAGTGATATCTTAACGTATACTACCGTAAAACGGAGAACTTTCTACTCGTAATATTCCTAAAGTGAATGAGCTTAATCATTATTTTGTGGTTCAAATTCATGAAACACTACTTAGTTACAGCAATTTATGAAATTAGAAATTTCTAATTTGCGCAGAGAGATATCAATTGAGGACTCCGATCCGAAAAAACAAAATGACGTCAAAGCGACAAAGTTAACTTATTTATCACGGTTGCAAACTAGCGCCAGGTTTTAACCCACTCATTGCCGGGGAATTCTTCGGTAAGAMCTAAGCTTAGAAAACGAAGAGTTTGTTTTGTGGTCGGACATGRCGACCGCAGAAAGGATAGCGTGAGTTAAATTGGAATAGAAAGTCTTCTTTCCATTGAAAATCAATCAGAATTGATTTCGTTTTGTATCTAAAAGCGACAACGTTATTTAGGTAAATTAAAACCAGCTCTTGAGACGTTTATTTTTAGGTGTCTTAGAAGATTGGACTGTATGATCAATTGTTTACCGTYGAGGAGCAAAAGATACCTACAACTGACAGGCTYTATTTCTGTTAAGAGAAAGCATTCATCTGTGAAAGAGAGSGGTTTGCGTCTAACAGAAGAAGTGAAAGTAACTGAAACGTTTTCTCATATTAACACCCCGTTTTGAGCTGGTTAAAGAATTCATTCACTCAATAAACCCTTTTGTCCTCAAGGGCTACTAAATAAACTTTATCTCGGGGATTATGTTGTGGCATTTTTTTTCTCGATAAACAGCTAAATATTTAAGGCACTTGCACAGTTAGGAAACTACAGTCGGGATAAAAAGCAGTGTTTTCGCTTTTTGACCTCACAAGAGAGCGAGAACGGCGCGTTGTATAGTAGGTATCAGTGATGATAAAAACRCTCTTTCAACTATATTAATATCAGTTGTCCATCATTCTCGAGATCTCAAAGATCAAATGCAAGTGGCTTTCTAATCATGGCATACAGTAGAGAAGCTTATCTACTTTTTGCCATATGATTGGAAACGTTCAAAAGCCTAAAAAACCGGCACAATACAGTTTAAAAATATGTGGCCGGAATCATAACAAGCAATAGACTTCATCGTTTATTGAATCCCGCCGAGGACAAAAAGATTTATCGCCCGTCGATCACTACTGTATTCAATGTGAAGTGTACGGCTGTCAAAATTGAGCGAAACGGTTTAAGAATATACCTACGAAAATTCTCCGAGCTGATGGATTAGCAAAGTAAGATCGATTTAGTTATCTTTCATCGTGATGCATGCTCGATTCGAGTTACAATAACAAACGATAATTTCCTTCTTCAGTTTTATAATTATTACCTTGAACATCTTGGTGGATAGCTGCTGTAGACCCCTTTACTCCATGAAGTCGCTTTGAAACTTTCGCATTTAGCTCTGTGATAGCTTTCTGTTGTAGCGTTGTCTCCAGTTGTCGGGTACAGCATGTTTTTGAGGTAGCGCATGTTTGCGGCTCTTGCCCTAAAGCGACACGAAGAAAAGAAGGTTGATTTGAATGACAACGCACGAGTCTACACTCACTCTCAGACACGCTAACTTTGATAAAGTCAAAAAACCAGAGAGTTTCAATCAAGTCAATATTCATACCTTTAAGGGGACTCTTTAGTTGTGAAAAGGCATCTTTGCCAAGCTGTTTAGGACATCCAGCTTTCACTTTTATCGAACATAAACACACCGAAATTACAGTCACTAAGCRATAAATAATTTTGGAACACTTCATCATGTTTCAGGCTTAAAAGTTACACTCGAATGGCTTCCCAATATACTGACAAAAACACGCATAAGATTGGCACTGTATTGGCCCTCGGACGGAATCACGAATATATCACCCTGCTGTTCTACTCAAGTGTTTTGCATATCAGCCTTTGAAAGGTTGATCGTCCGCATTTGGTTTGATCTACTGGTTTAATTGACAAGCTTAAGCCCCACCCCTCCGGTCGACAAGACGATTCCTTATTGGGAAGTGTCTCATTATTACTCAGCTTGTAAAACAAGGGTCCAGCACCTAGAACGAACCCCTTGTAATCTCATTAGCTGGTTTACTACCATGACCTCTTGAAACACACTTCTTGCACTGTGAACATTCGACAATTAACTCCATATTCGCACCTTCCCCAAAGCGTCAAAACCCACTCAAACATGGCAAGATAATTAAACGGATACTTAAGTTATATGTATTCATGTTGATCCTCTATTTATTAAAAAATAGATGAGATGCAAGCGGGGCTTTGCTTTGCTGTTGATAATCAACGCTTTGAGGGAAGAAATCAGTGAGAGATTTTAAAACAAAATATCGGCTTCTCCTTACTTGAATGTTACAAATTAGTTCTAATGAATAGCGTACAATTGTTGTACTATTCCGTGGTTTTCAGTTTTCAGTATTTATTTTATATATATCGAATATATATATCCAATTTTTAAGGCATTCTCAGCTCTTTCTCAGATGAAAATGAAGTAYGCTCGATSAGGTCTGGTTTTTGTTGGCTTTGACTGTTGACAAATTATCAATCAACCGGGCCCTTCATAGAGGCTGCTCTTCACTGAAGCACCAGTTGAAAAGTCATGTAAATCTAACACCAGACTGAATTAGATTGACTGAGTGCTGATCTGAATTTCTACAGAGATTGAAAGATTGTCTGAGTTGTGTGACACAATGACTGATGTGGTACTCGTGACTGACTGGCTGACTGACTGACTGTATGAATGACTGTCTGTCAGTATGATTGACTGAAAGTGTTTGACTATCTGGGTAATGATCGAAGGGTTACTCGAATGGCTGAATGCATAATCGAATGACTTTGTTTGCAATCTCAGGCATTTCCTCGTGTCGTTTCCATTCGTGGGTTTCAGGAAGGAACGCTGTAGTTTGAGCRGGCGAATAGACAATTCATGGCTAGAAATCTCTTTAACACAAAGATATCAACACAACACTATAACAAACACCTTTTCAATCAGAAATCCCTTAATTGAAATACAACACTTTCATTGTTCAAGATRTTTTTTATGTTTTGTAAAAGCGATTTATAGTATGTTATATGATATACATTGGATCAGTTGATAGGAGTTGTGTATTATTATGGCTAGCTGGCTAGCTCCCTTTAATATATGCTTAGCTCTGTTAGGCCAGTTTTGTCGTGTCAATAATATTAGGACTCCTCGAGGTATTCAATCATGCAAACAATATTCTAAATAGATTTTTATTCATAATGAATAAGTGGATTTGTGGAGACCGATATAATTATAGACCAAATAAAACAAAAGATTAAAACGCACTATGAATAAAAACAATCACTAAGAATCCATAGTAGAAAACCAATATTAAAACAATAAAATGGTTTGCCGCCGACATGTTGATTGTTACAATCGCCGATTCCTTCATTTTCCTTCCTAATACATCATTTGTTTGAATAACTATTGTAAATTCAAGGCAATTAACGATRTATGTAAGACATCCATGTTGATATTTGGGCATGTATTTCATGGTCAACGTGATGTGCTTATATATCAGGTCAAAATTATGTTTTTTTTCTTCGGTTTCTTCGGTTTCTTCCATTCATGTAGTAAATTGTTGATAAGTTCGGTAATCATTCCCATGGATGATGTAATAACAGTGATTAAGGTAAAAAATGACTTCGATAAGAAAAGAATTCAATCTCAAAGAAAATTGTCTATCGGAATAAAAAAAAAMCATTCCGTTGATGTCCATGATCAAACCTAGGCACGACCTTTTGTCATTTTTTGAAAATCTTAATTGTAAAAACAGTGATTTGCTCTCATAAATTATTCATGAGAATCGCGAGTATTCAAGTACTATGACGATGTTGAGAGGTTTGGCAGCTCTACAACCTGATGAAAATGAAATTGAAGTTGGAAACCTGTCAAGATTCCCTCTTTTCGAGTTGAGGTTTTCAGTATTCTCGTGCATGTCCGCGGCAAATCCAAGCGGTTGCTGSGAGGGTAAGGAGGCCGATGGCTCCCATACAAAAGCTGGTGCAAATTCGCAATATTCTTCCAATGATTTACTTTGAATAAATGGTCATTAGACTGCTAATAAAGCACAAGATGCTGATTTGTGTGTTCATGCTTGTTCTTGTGCTCGTGGCAAACTATACAACTCTTTGCAGACGTTTCCGGTAAGATCAACGCCCTTTATATAAAAACAATAGCACAATACTCTGAGAGTTGGGTCGAGGTCAATTACTTCCTACAGTGCTGAAACTAAAGGAGTCTTGATATATTTTACAACCAAAATATCCTCTATCTCACGATTATTAATTCGAAATCACCGCGATTTCTGCGGAAAATTAAATAAATAAACAGATAAACAAAAAATGCGGAAATGGATTACTAGGGATTAACTGTGGTAACCAAATTATTTTATATTTTTACTATATACACCGATRACGATGCTTCTCTATGACTTGTTTGTATTGACGTATCGGGCTACACTCGACCCCAGCATCAGCGTAAGCATGTCTCAAGTCACACCTTTTYTATTTTGCGGTAGTCCCTGGTTTCAGTTTGCATTTTTACGCTTAACTACATCAATTTGTTTTCATTTGTTTTGTGATAGGATATAATGATACCTTATAACTTAACGTATTTGATCAAGAATCATTCAACACGAGTCTGAAGCTGAAGAGAGTATGCCAGTCTGTGCCTTGCACGCTCCCTTATCGTGCTGGGTAAGCATTTCCGGACCCRAGGTTTTGATTTATTACACATTTCCTGCTTGAAAGTTTGTGAACAAAAATGAAGTTGAGACAAAGACCTTTAAAATGTGAGAGCGTGAAAAAAAGACGGAAGCAAGACCAAAGGTGCCTTCATACCATGATTCCTTGCGATCCTACAATGACGCCCAAAAGCCTTCAGTATCTTAGACTGGGGATCACTGCAAGAACMCACCTTCGATATTTGGGTTAACAAAACCACACCACGCACTAAAGAATTGAAGGCGAGGCTCTGGGGAATCAGAGTGAGCCTCGATCTCAGTAGTTATATTGTACATAATGCATAATTCAACTATTGCAGCTATTGATAGGATGACGACCCTGATAAACGAAAATAGACAATTTGCTACYATTCCAAACCCACGTGGTGTGTTATACCGACAGGGATGTGCGTAATACACTTCGCCCAATGTATCATTTTCTCAACAATATATCATTGATATAGTCATAAATATACTCATGCGTCTCACGAGAAACTTGAAATGCCCCRTACTAACAGCAATAACTATCAATGCTCTACAAAAACATTTAACCAGTTTATCTTATCTGTATGTCCATATTATATAAGGACCAATACTTCTTGTTAACAAAAGAACTTGTCCTAATACAASATTTTGTTATCAATCGTGCACTGTTGCACGACAATCGTCAGACAAAAGCCACATAGCAGGCATAACACCCACTGGTTCTTGCTGCGATGAAAACTGACCCAAACCGTAGTAATAAACATCAATTTGCGTAATTTATATCCTATGACGATCGAGTATATATATTCTAATTACAGAGTGATAATTTTTCAGGACATAAAGCAGTAATTGAGGATAGACAATTCCCTAGACATTCCAAACACATGGTGATTTGGYTAATTCTTCTACTGGTAGTTTGAACTTATAATAAACCTTTTTTTCTTTTATCAAAAGTTCAATTCTAAAAGTAACCCACCCAGCGCTACATATTTATTATTAGAATTCGTATTTTTTTAGAGTTCTGCTTCAAATAAGACCTCACAACGGGTGACCAGTCTAATTACATCAAAAAACGCAAGCTATTGATTAATTTCAAATATTTGAAACTCGTAGTGATTTAAATACAGAAGCGCAATGACATAAGTATTAAAACTRGATCTATTAACACAAATAATTCTCCTCACAGTGACGTACGAACCTTTAAAATACGCGGTCACTCGAGAAAGGGTTCCGTAATACCAAAGACTCGGCCAACTCGCCTTGGCCACCCCTCCCTGCACAAACAGTACAACAAGATGTATGATTTTCTTAGTTATTATTTATTGTACTATTAAAGAGACTTCTGTACGTACATGTATATAGATATAGACTTCTATGTTCACTCGGTTCACTTCTATTTCTCTGAATTCTTTTTTACAAAGCGTAAATATATTACATTATCTTAGATTCATGAAACAAGCATTTTTTTACTGTACATTATAATATTGTCTACAAGTATCATTCCTAGTTGAACTAAACGCTGTCTATGAAAAACAAAAACATTTATAGGCCAAACTGAGCTACGGAGCACAGCAAATACCTGTGGCAGCCATTTTGGAAATGTAGCCAAGCCTTCACAGATAGCGTACGCCATCTTGAAAATCGATCGTTTAATTCACTTCGTCTTGAAAGAATTTCTAGATTTAGCCTATTCTAATAGTTTGTTTTTCTCGCAGCTTCACTTTACAAGTATACAAGAGGACTACATTTGCTTAAATAACTTAGTTTAATAACACATCTAAAGTACGTTTCACTTTTAGAAATCTAACACTCTTTGTCAAATAATACACGCGCGCAAATCGTTATAAATCAGAAATTAGTATGTTACACTGCCACTATTCACACACAGCTGGGGACCCTGTGTTAAGGGGACTGGTTAAAAGGACTTGTATTTCAATAGCACACAACAAAACTCTACGAGCTCAAAACATAATTTACATCAACACATTCAATTCAACTTAATCCTACAAAAATAAATATGGCAAAACACTCTTTTAACGAATATTGAATATTTCTCGTTAAATAAATGAAATCCAAACGTTTACTTCATACATTGGACGCAAAATACTTTATAATTTTAAAACTACTCTCGCTTTTACTAAATTGGTTTGAAACATAAAATTGCGATTTCACATAACGCGTTTTTATATGGTAGTGAATAAAAGAACATGTAAATGAGCAAGTGAACGTGCTCGCCTCGAATAACTTCACAAATTCAAATTCATGCAATGCAATACTGCATATGATAAGCGCGAAAAGGTTTCTACCTTTGTCAAGTCATCGAGGCATTCATGTTCATGTTCATGTTACAAGTATTCTACTCATTAAATAATAAAAAGGCGTCATGGAAAACGTTTCTAGGACTTCGCTTGTGGTATCCCTGTTACTTGGTGTATTAGCTACACAGAGAGGACGTGTCACTTGGGGGACTTATATCCTAATCCAGGCCGGAAGTCAGTTATTTCATCAGTAGCCAATCATTGATTGGTATGATGACGTAATACATTTTCCACTCATATATTAAGAATCTTTCCTATATATAAAATATGGTCATACAATAATCTCATATACATAAGATCCTACGCGATAACTTGACTTTCAAATGTATACATTTGGTAAACACTATAAAACAAAATGTATACATTGGGTAAACACTATAAAACAAAATGTATACATTTGGTAAACAATTTGAAAAAAATCTATAAAGTTGAATAAAACCAAAGGAAAACAATGTTGTCTTTCTATAATCCATAAACTCTGTAATATAAATAACCAATGTCTCTTGTTCAAAAGTACTGGCCTAATGCTGTACGATATATTTCCTTCAAGGATGGTGTACACATTTTCGAAACTCAAGTTATCGCAAGGAATCTTTCTAAGATAAGATAAACAGATACACAATCGACATTGTACACCCTACTTACCACTTTGCACGGAATATTCTACTAAAATTCACTGCTTCAGAAGAATGGTGACAACTTTTCTTGTCACCAGACTCCTAACCACAATTCTGTGTAAAATGGAATCCAATCAACAAAGAAAAAGTAGTTGGGTTGTTAATTGATTCAAATTGGCCATGACCCACACTGTGAGCTAGTGCCGCCGTACCTACTGCGGTTTTTGGCTACTCTTTATCCGACAATTTAAGCATTGACGCACAAATAAGTGTTGCTGYCTTTTCGCATTAAATTTCCATTTTCATCTGTTTCTATTGAACTAAGTCCACTTCCTTATTCGTTAGTTTTCGGCAGTGTAATATACAGAGGGACTGGTAATTACTTAAGTTAATATAGCATTCCACCAATGAACTATGGCAGGGTAAGAGTGGTAGGCAGGGTATTCCTAATATAGAATTAYTATTAAAAATGATTAATTAAATCTKAAAATGTTTCCATACCTTTTTGAGAGGGACCTCAAATTCACTCGCTTCATCAACTACGCATGGAATTTTAAATAAATTAATAGTTGTAAATCACTTGCATGCTGACAGCTTTTTGATCGACTATTGGTCAACAGTTATAATACTGCAAGATGATTGGTCAACGCCGCCAGATTACTGAACGCCTGATTGGTTAATCCACTTTCGAATTTTTCAAATCTTTCCATTACTAAGCAATAATGCAATTGTCGAAGTTTTGCACAAAAGCCAACRTCCTGTTTTCRTTGAAATTTCCGCTACAATTTTCTTATAAATTCATTCCAGTTAACAATTCTCGGCACAACTTTTTATACTTCCAMGCATCTCCGCTGACYTTTCGCAGGCGCAATCCGTTAAGCGACCGCTCGGGAAGTTGGCAGACTTCAATCTCCATACAGACTCCTCCGTGATTAACAGTAAATAACTGTTCAGCCTGTTCATACACTAAATTGGGAGACTGCTGGTCCAATGTTCGTCGTATTTCCTCAATAATATCCGGTATATTTTTATGTGACGTAATGCTCACTGAGACAGCAAATCGGACACTAGCTGAAAGTTCATCGTTAAGACTTCCTTTACTACTTGATTTGAATAATGGCTCAGTATATATGCTGCCATTCGGTGAGAAAGTACCCAGAAGCCCTGGACTACCACTAACATCCTTTAGATTGACATTATTATTCAGCACGTCGCGCGCGTGGTTCTGGGAAGTCATGACGTTATTAGCTGCCACTCGGCGAATCAGGTCTACATTATTCCATAACTCTTGAGGGGTAGGGACAGTGTGATGACGAACGTGACGACGCTGAACGGTAGTTGCAGCGATGTGCCTGGCCAGTGGGTTACCTGATATAAGCGAGAGAGTCGGAGAGACTCGTCCTGTTTCTAAAGACCATGGTAACCGATTAATGTCAAACAAATCACTTTCGTTAACCATATTGGAACCAAAACCTGTCGACTCGAGATGCGCTAAGTTCAAAGGAAATGAAATGTCAGATTGAATATGTTCATCACCGGAACTACTGAACCCTGGTGAAAACTGTTGACTGAYGYTGACTGCTGTCAGTGGAGACAGGGGAGGGGAGGCTTCTGAAGGAGTCGTTGTCGACAAATCAAGGGCAAGTAGCGAAGAGGTTGGACCRTCGGAAGGACCACTTTGATTGGAGTAGCCTCTGTTGTCTTCAGTGTTAACATATTGATCMGTTTCTTCMAGTATCACACTKGTACGCGGAGATATKGAACTGATACCAGCAGATGGCGACTCGTACCCAGTGCAAGGTTCRATATTCAGTTTCTGCATCTGTTGCTGCAGCTGTGGCTCAAGAAGGATTTCTTTTTCTTCTAGCTCTTCATCTTGCGTAGATGTTGTTCCAAGGTTGGATTCAAGTTCCATTTCTAGTTGTTTTTCCTGCAATTGTTGTTGAAACTGARCAATGCTTGATACTAATGCCTCACTGCCGTCCGATGCCCTTCGCCCCATCAACTGATACTGCTGCTGCTGAAAGTGTTGCTGATGAAGTTGCTGCTGATGATATTGAACCCGCTGAGTCTCCTCTTCGACAAGAGACCCATATTGCTCCCTCAACTTTTGATGCTCTTCTTGTAGCTCTTTTAAACTATTTCTTTTAGAGCCGCTTCCTTGGTTTCGCTCAAGATGTTGCTTAAAAGCTAAAATCGACGCAGCACCATCTGAAGCCCTACGTGATGACGTATATCTCATTCCCGCATGGGTAGGAATCAAGTTGTTTTCACGCGGAGCCCGTTCTCGCACAGGTGAAAACCCGCGGCGTGATTTCAGAGGAAGTTGTAGCAGCTTCATCTGTAAATCGTCGGGAATCTCCGACGATGGTTCGGTGACTCCCAGTGTGTGTCGTTGCCTCGCGCCTCGTCGGCTTAGGTAGCGGGCCACAGCCTCGGGGTCAGGCTCTTGATCGGATCCACTGTCGTTGGCTTCGCTCATATGTGGACTGGAAGGGCCTGGAGACACGGAGAATGGGACTTGCGAAGTAGAACACTGTGTATTATCGCCCTGAGAACCCGGGTTACTAAGATCTCCTGTATCTCCGCTAAGCTGTTGCAGGGCCCGTAGAGCATTAAACTGTGCAATGCCAGCTCCGAGGCTTGCGGCACCATCTGATGCTCGTCGACCAAAAGGCTGCCTGAGCTGAAACACTGACGGTACTTGAAGGATTTGCTCTTTGTATGCAAGCGAAAGGTCAGTTGTCGGTGAAAACGATGGAATACCACCAGGCATGCCCGGATAAGACGGAATACCGAAAGTGTTTTCGGGAGTTTGTGGGTTTGTTACGAACTTTTGATTCAACATTTCACGGAATTCGTCGGATATTTCTTGCATTGGATCAACAGCTGTAACTGTGTATCGACGGTTTGATAAATAAGCCTTTAGGTTTGGTGGGATCACCTCAGCCACCTGATCCTCGGCTTCATTATCTTCGTTTTGCTGCCATGAACTAGTTATTTCTCTCGTTGGAGAGTCGGGTGTCACGTGAACGACGGGAACGATAGATTCTCGTCTTGCCCGTGCTCGCTCAGTGACACATTCAACTTCAGCATCAGTGTCCATCATCTCACTGTCATCAGTAGTCGAACTTCTTTCTCTGGGGGGTAGGGCGGGGACTATTGTTGGCTGAGAATGTGTACTTGTGCTACTGTTCTTTCTCTTACACCTTTTCCATCGTTGGTATAATAATGAGTAGATTCCTGCGTTGTGGTCGTAGCTCTTGGACTTTACGGCCTAAAAAATACAAATAAAATATATATTATAAAACATAAACTACATAGTATCTCATATTATAATAGCTTATCATGATCGTTATACCTGTATTATAAACTACATAGTATCTCATATTRTAATAGCTTATCATGATCGTTATACCTGTATTATAAACTCATATTATAATAGTTTATCATGATCGTYATACCTGTATTATAAACTACATAGTATCTCATATTATAATAGCTTATCATGATCGYTATACCTGTATTGTTTTCTCTCTATCGAGCTTTAATGCCTCCACCATCCTCAAAACGTCCTCGTTTACGTCATCATCATCATTGACAGGTTCAATGTAAACAGGATCTCCGCTGACCGGCACAACGCCGCCCTCTGTCATCCAGCGATGATGTTGTACTTGACTAACAGTGTATCGCTTTACTGGGTCTCGTACTAACATGTGGCGAATTAGGTGCTCGCATTCTAAGGACAAACAGAGACTTTTTAGTTTATAAATGCATACAGAATATAATTCAAATTCACTTCATTCTTATTTCATAAATTCCTTGTTCATTTGTTACTTATTCATCTCTGTGTTGTCATTATCCCCATTCATTGAGAGTTGTCAGCCAGTCAGTCAAGAATTCACTAAATTATTGTTTCATTTATATCCCTTGATTCATCTCTGTCAGGGATTTGTCTAGAATATGATTGGCTAGTGGATAATATCTGTGTCAAGGGTCTGATTAGAATATGATTGCTTATTGGATAATGCATTACATGTACCTGTAGACATAAAGAAAGGAACCCTAAATCGTCCATCAAGAACTCGTGACCGTAGAAGCTGTAAAGTACTGCCGTCAAATGGTAAGGCACCACATACTAGAACATACAACACTACACCCAGGCTCTGTAATAAAACAATGAGGAATTTATAAATAATCTTTAATAGTTAACATTAATAATTAATGCTTTCTGTCAGYGCAYGAAAATRTGCCTMTGAAAAACTGGTYTGACTCCCAGTCGTCTGTTTTAAATTTTGTTTTAAATTTATTCTATTTTCAATTAATTTCTTGGCTTGAATATCATATCATCTCTTTCCCATCCATTGACACAATGATYTGTCTGCCAATCTTCTYGTCTGTCAATCATACATACCCAGATGTCAACTTCTGGACCCAGATATTCTTTGCCTTCAAACAGTTCAGGGGCAGCATAAGGTGGACTTCCACACCAAGTCTTGAGTTTCTTGTCATGTGTAAATATATTRCTAAAGCCAAAATCTACACACAAACAACACATAMCAGATTTAGAATGGTAGAAAATAGAAAYGGATGGATGAAAAAGGATTGGATGTTTTGAAAAAGAACAAAGCAAGTTATCAGGTGAACTAGAGGAACTTGACTTTAGTCTAATCTCAACATCTCATCTAACTTACTTTATAAATAAGAAATAAAGTTGATAAAAGTGTACCTGCAATCTTGATGTTCATATCTTCATCTAATAGCAGATTTTCTGCCTGAAATTATTAAAAGAAATTATTCATTAAGTGGATTTTTTCATCCTCTCTACTGAATGCTATGTGAGTGTCATTTTAATAAACAATGATTGGTTTTTAACATGCTTGAACTCTATGCTCGGTATGAAGTTCACAGTATTCTCGGCGATCACTACTGGTTAACAAAAGATCAACTACATTATAAAAGAATGGCAATAATTTGTTTCGTTAAACATTTTTAGTTAACCTGGAAACATTTTTTCTGGTGTAGATGACTTTAGTTGAAAAAATTCAATCAAACAAAATATTAGCCAAACCTTTTGGTTTCTTCTATGATAAATTTAAAAAACTCAATAATTCATGAGCTATTAAACCAATGGGAGTACCCCAATTTGGTCAYATGCATGACCTTTATACCACATAAAACACAGGTAGTTTCTGGAAGTATCTTTAGATAAAAGACATACCTGTACCATTATATAATGACACAAATACCTTTATATGAAGGTATTTACTAGAAGCTAAAGACTCTCATTCAGTATTTATAACATTTGCACAGGTCTCAGTACATGTATTAATCTCTCAACATTGACCAATGCAAGGTTTTTTAAAACCACTTCAAGTAAAAAGGATGTTGGMTATATCAACACTTCTTRTGACATGAATTCAATGTGGGACAAATAATTCGCACATGATCAGATGGCTACATTTATCTTACAAGTTGAGTTTTCAAAAATTTTTGTAAAAATCTCAAATGATTGAGTCTTAAATTAGTATTGGAGTTTACTAAGCTATATAAAAATCTTGCAGCAGTGCTTTATCAATGATCATGAACACGCTCTGGGTTTTATCTTTGATAAAACACTGCTGCTTCTTTTTATACAGTACATATGTATGTTACAACATTATATGTCGCTAAACTATTATTTTTCCTTTMCTATGTTACCTTTAGATCTCTGTGAACAACATTCTTTTGATGACAATAGTTTACTGCTGACACAATCTGTTTAAACTTCTGTCTTGCTTCATCTTCCTTCATTCTGCCATGTGCTACTAAATGGTCTGAAAACAATAAACAAAAATAAATAAAAACAACAACAACAGCATACAGATATAAAAGAAAGGATGACAGACTGACTGCAGATCAAATGTTAGACCCATTCAACACTGTATATCTCTAAATAATTGTGTTAAGCACAGATAGTAAGTACTTACCAAATATTTCTCCYTTGCTTGCATACTCTGTGACCAAGTACAGCATTCTGTCTGTCTCCATGACCTGTGAAAAGCAAAGTACCTCACAAAAATATTCACAAACAAACKCCACAGGAACACTTTGATGGTTGAGAAAGTTTTAACTGTTTGAAAAGCTACTAAAAGTGTGCTTGCCGTTATTGACACTTGAGTAGAGAAATCATGGCATTATATTTTATACAATTCTTGTCTTCACTTGATATGAATAAAATAAATTGATTCAAATCAAAAGTAATATGGCTTGGAGTGATTTGTGACCTTCATAGTATTAGTTGAAGTACATGTATAATCTTGTAATTTAATGTTCATGACGAGCAAGGAATAATAAACCATACCACAACCATTGATCAAAAGTAACAGGTAACATACCTGTACTCATAAGACTACCTCTTACAATGGAGAAATTCGCATATGACAGGGTAGACTGACAATAACAATTATATATCTTTGAAGTCATGGGCATCTTTTGGGTAAACTGTTAGATAAACATGCTCACCTACCCATACTAGTACACAGAAATGACGTATCTTAAGGTCTAGTAAAGGTCAAGCAAGGTGTAGCAGAGAATTATCCTAAAATGTTTGAACATGTCTAGATTTTTATTTTATTGAATGAGCTGAAAATATATTTTTCTGTCAAAAGTATGAGTATACCCCTCCCTCTTAAACAGTGCTTGAAACAAGTTGTGATTATAGAATTTAAAATGCTGATCAAGCCCACACATTATTGCATGACTTGATAGAAAAACTCAATTTTTATAACTTAACCGGATAACAGCTCAGCATACTTTGTAGGATAATCTTTGATTATCAACTAGAGACACACACAAGAAACTGAAAACATGTATACAGTGCGCTTACAAAATAGTTTAAAGTCAAAGTAAACCTACCAAAGCTTCTTTATTATGCAATAATTATTTTCTAAAGGGTTGTCTTAGTTTTACAACCTTTTAACAAGAATGAATTTGTTGATAGCTGCCAGTCAAGATAACTTTAATTGCTGGTTTGGTTACTTAATCTCAGCTAAGCATAATATAATAAATAAACAAACAATAAACTTGTGAAAAACTAACTTTAATGATAAAAAACAGCTAACCTTATATTTTGTTTACATGTTGAATACTTTGATTGTGGGTGTCAATTTTGAACTTTCACACTACAGATTAATTTTCTTTGTATATTATGATATTATTATATGTTCTTGTTTTAAGTTTGAAATTCTAGTCTAAAGCAACTTAAAGTATAATAGAATCATTGTAAATATTGACTGTAGAGTCAATGAGTTTTGCTATCAAACCAAAATGATCATGCAACAAGATGGCWCACTTGGGCATAAATTTCTAGCTATTACACATACGACATCTCTAGGTTTTTAAAACACTTATTCACATTCATATTATATTTTCTATCAATAATATTCTTATGTTTAAAAATTCCTCCTTGTGCATTTAAAGGAGCTTAAGGTAAAAGATATAGATTTAGACAAAATAAAATCAATAAATCATACAAGAATTTAAGTCAACATACATTATTTTAAAAACACTTAAAATTCGTCACAGCAGAATATGCATCTATTAGAGTCATATTTCAATAGAAAAAAAAATGATTTCAAATAAATAAATACAAGGGATTGAATGATTTGTGTTTTTTCTTTACAAAGAGAGAGTCAAGAATGTTTTGTGATTCCATTTGAAATACTTAGAGAATTCAACAATTCTCAATAGTAGTGAAAGAAAAACTAATAAAAGAAAATTATTTATCATGTTGCATTTTGGTTAGTCTAATTTTTGAAAAAAAATTAATAATGACAAAAAAAATATCAACAGTATTATACAAAACTATTTTCATAAAATACATAAATAAGCTTTGTTTATGTGACTATTTTGTAGAAATCCCACAAATGTAAGCATTTTACGCCTCATTAAACGTTTGGCAATGAAAACAATGTACAGTTTGTGTGGAAAACAGAGTAACAGAAGATGCTCATGTGTGAAGAGAGAAATGACTTTAGACTCAATATCGACGAATTTGAATTTAAATATGTAGAAAAGAGGCGAAATATGAGTCATTGGCGCGGCAGTCACGCTAAATTTTAACTCCAATAAGCGTATTTGTTTCTTCAACTAATAGAAAGTACAATCTGAATTTTCCTGTGACATATTTCAATGGTTCATCGAATATTTAACACAAACAGTAACGATCAACATGAAAAACATTAGCAACAATTTTGCAAAAATTACACCGAAATCGAGGAAAATATAACTTAGATTTAGCTTGTGTTCAATTTAAAAAAAACAACTAAATAACTTTATTTTGTATTTAAATTCTAGACCTGAAGAAAAAAGAACGATCCATTTCAGAGTGAAATTGACAAATGAAATGAACACTGAAACGGTAAAAATCAAACTACAAGAAGATGGATAGAGAATTTCACAAAATAACGAAATGACAGTCAAAAATTTCATTCAAACTCTAATGTGTGCAGTTAAGCTTGTATGTAAGTTTACATGGTAGTGTTGATCTATTCTAATTTCAAGCGCAAAGAACGGGAAAAAATGAAATATTCTAAAGATCATAAATTTGCACTTTCTACACAAAATTGGAGAAAATAAATAATCGACTAGATCGGKTTTTTTTACGATGAAAGCATATCATAAAACAGGTCTGCGGTGCAATTTGGCCACATTACAGCTTGTAAGGGTACGTTGAAACACAAAATGTTTAGGTAATAATTCTACAAGTTACAACACAATTGTTTGTTACCTCATGTAGCTTAACAATGTTAGGATGGTCGACCAACTTCATGACTTGAACTTCCCTGAACACTTTCTTCAAATTATCTCCATCGAGTTGTGTTTTATCGATGATTTTGACAGCTACCTATATAGCAGGGGAAAGGACAGCAGAGCAACAGATTTAAAGCAAAGTTTTACCGGCTTATGAAACCAAATTGAATTGACAATTAAGTGCAAGATATCTCAACTTTAAGTTCTTGAAATACCACGCATGTTGTACAAAAGCGAAGGAATTATAGTCGCGCTTTCGCTTGTTCTAGTTTTGTCTTCGATTCCTACTTAGYGACTTGAATATATATAGTACACATTGAGCTTTCCAGCGCTTTTCCAGCCCCACAGCCATCAAAAGCAMGGAATACTTACCTTGATTTTAGTAATACAATGTGTAGCTAGCTTCACCACCGCAAAATTTCCCTTTCCGATGGTTTTCTCGATGTTGTAGGGTCCTATTCTAGCTACACTTCCATGACGGCTATGACTTCTCACTTTAGCCGCCATCTTACCATGATTATTACATGCATATTTGAGAAGAAAGTGCTTCTGCGCAAGAGCAGTGACTCCCATGGGGGAGTGGGAGAGAAGGTTTTGTCCAGTTCCAGAGCAAAAAGCGAGGGAAATAAGTTCGTTTTTCGTTAGTGTTTATTTGGCAAACAAACGTTTTATAATCACATATTTTCTATTATTTATCTGGGGATGTTTGAAGTGGTCAAAAAGATGAAAACAAGCTCGACGGATCAGTTCCCGTCAATGGCGGCATCTTGGTAACTTCATGTTATTAGAAAGAAAAAGGATAGGTTTTTAAACCCACAAGGACTTGCAGCCAAGCCAATGCTTAGAAGAGAATCCCAAAACTCAAATTATTGTAGAAAAATTGTATAGTTGCATTGTACTTCCGCGAATTAACTTCATAAAAAATTCATATGTTCACTGACAAGGCTGGAAGCGAAACTTTTAAGATGAAACTTGCGATTTGTAAGAGATAAACGGTAGAAATGACGGACAAAGGAAGTTTCTTCGAAATTTCGTTGCATAGATTAATTAATATCCCCGGAATTCTTGTACTATGAGCACGAGATATAAGAGCCAAGATATCGGTCTAGAGTGCGTCCACTGCGAACTGCCAAATTATCAAATTATTATTGAAAATTGCATCATCTTGTTTTCACGCCATCTTTTTTTTATAATTATAAATTTTTCCATAAAATGTTTTTGTTCAATACCATGTTGAATGATACTACGAAATCTGCATTGTCATCAGTACCGATGAACAGCACGCTTATCGGTTTTATCAGCGATCGCTAAAGTTTAGCATGTGAGCCCGGTATAGCAGGGTAGATCAGTACAGTATCAGAGGAACAACATTTCATCGTTTTGAGAGCTCAGGACTTTGGAATCAGGAGTGCATTTCTCAGAAATCGAAATTAAATATTTTGTTACGATCAAGTCGAGTCCTCACTTGTTCGACCGCATCTGGAAATTTTCGAAAACGCCTGAAAAGACTACGAGCGCGCCGATACGTGTGGACGCGAAAATTCAGTATCCGCAACAAATAAATTGCGGTTATAAACATTTCCGTCATCGTGTGTAGGCAAATAAATGACACCGCTCAGTGAACTGTCAAGATATCTTGTGACTTTCATAAAGATGAGTAAATGTTAAACACATTTTTCATTGTTTAGCTGGAATATCAGCTGTGTCTATGTGATTTGTCTGATATCAAGACCCGCTTCCATGAGAGGTGCGTTGGCGGACTGGTGAATACCGGAAGATCTACAGCGAGGGGACTTCCGCCGCGCACATGTATCAGGAAGTCGAAATCAAGGCTCTGAGGATAGAGACTACAAGAATTAAGAGTTTTGTTTGGCTAGGGTCCTAACTATAAAATACATCTTTTGATCCACGATAAAGTCTCATGAATACATGTTAGCAGACAGATATTTGACATATCTGCAAAAAACAATACATCGGGATTAAAATGGATGAAAAAGAAAAAAGGAAAGTGTTTTTCTTTGCTTATTTATTTTCGTTTTGTCTTTAATCAGCTTACGGTTGTCCCTATGCTAACTCAGTCAATGTCGCGCGCCTATTTTATTACAAGTTGYCTTTCTTTTCTGACCGACTTGGGATTCGTAATGTAAACCGATCCTTTAAGGGCGTTAATAAGGTCAGAAATTTCTTTCTGCCCTCCTGTGTAAAACAGGCTTGAGATTTCTCCATTTTCCAAGTCTGACACTCATAACTTGCAGGCAATGTCAGCCCGCCATTGATGAATCGTACTTCAAGCACATAACTAAAAAGTGAGACTTGATCACTTACAGAACTAGACTATTGTAGAATAATCATGAAAGGGCGAGTAACCCTACTTGTATTGACCGCATATTATAGAACTCTCAACATCACGTGATGACAGACGAATACAAAAAAAATGGAACACTGGTACTGAATTATCCCAATTTCACTTCATTTTTTCTTTTTTTCACTTATTCGGTTTATTATATATAGTGTTAACTTGCTCTTTTATTTAGTCCTTTACTTATATAATGCTGTGGTTCAATTTCTTGATATGTCAATACTGTAAATACGCTAGCCCTCACATTTCACTGACGCCGTTCATCCGATGTCACTTGGGACGGGGAGGTAGTTTGGACGAGTGTGCTACTTATATGTACTTGCTTCTTATGTCCTTCTCAGCAGCCACAAACACAAGCCATAGATTGTTCATGACTTTGTATTTCTCTTATGCTATTTTTCCGCAGAGTCTTAAGGATTATATAGTCGGTTTATAACTACCTTCATTTTAACGGTACCCTTGGTGCAATAGCTCATCATTCAAAACACAATTCCTTAGTGATTATAAACGACGGTCTAAAGCTGATGGTTGACTGTTTTTGCAGTCTGAACGAAGAGTGGACAATTTATAGTCCACGTTAGTATCGACCGTACAAGTACGAACTCGTCGTGATGCCCCAGGGGTACTTTCCAACAGTTCAAATGAGCTGGAAAAGAGAAACAAGAACCTTTCAGAGTCAAAAATCACAGAAAAATACACTAGCACACAGTACTGACCTTTTACGAGAAAGTTTTCTTTCAGCATCAGGTTTTACAAAGAATATTCCAACAAGAAAAATGACAAGAATGGCCAGGAAAATGATAGTCACACCAATCACCACCCAGACCATTAAAGCAGTATCTACAATAGACACTGAAACATTACTGAAATTGAAATCTAAATCTGTCGAGGGGAAAAAGATTTTAAAATAATCAAGGGAAACTCGTGTGAGTTCAGGCAGTCCTTTGACTCCGCGGTCTCAATATTAGCATTTGTGTTGGTTCAGTAAACATTGCTCACGCTTGTACTCATTTGTACTTGAACTTAAAGTTTTGTGAACCAGATCCAACATCACTTTCGATCATAATTACCCACCACCGATTTTATACAATTGACTATATTATGGAAACATTCAACACTGTCATATGGAAGAACTATTAGAATAGTTATATATGAATAGAAATGTTGAAAGTATGGACCAAATACTAACAGAGTTATGGAGAAATGGCCTTGGTAGCCTCGTTTTGGTGTTTTTTGTGCCTCTTCCCACCCTTATCTTCAAGAGGATTTAATATTTTTTCTGTGAAACTTTCAGAACGTATCTTTAGCTTTGATATCTATCATCTGAGGGTGTTCTTTTGTCAACATTATGAATTTTATGATAATATTCTAATTTTAGTGTTGGCCCATAATTATGAGTGATCTTACCTCGACATCTGTTTGTGTTGCAAGCTCTCCTCTGCATACAACCATCGCATGTTCCGTTTCTTGTCTGTATTCCTCCACCACATAGTTGAGAACAACTGCTCCACTCACCCCACTCCACTAAAACAAAACCACACAGGGAGGGGAGGGTAGAAATATATTGAAAACATCTTTGCTATTCAGTTATGTTGCCTTCATTGTGATTTACGTAAATCAATGTTTAAAAAAATCATACACACTTCTTCATTGCTTATTCTTTAAACATTGATTTTGATCTATTCACTATTGACATATAATGATTATTGGAGAAGAAATTACTCTTCAACTCCGCTTAGATAAATAATAACAAACTKCCATTTACATATGAATCGGGASAGTAGTTTACCTAACGAAAAGACGCCATTAGTCCACAAGTACACAGAACCCAGTAACAAACGCGTTAACCATGAGTTCACGATGCTGCAGTAGTCCATAATTACCATGCTTTCTACAATTTTTAAAAGCTTCAATTCTTCTTTGAATTTCAATTGTGTTCTTCTGATTCGCAAGTTCCGAGGTGACAACGCTTTACAATCTCACAAGATCGATAAGATATCAAACATGATTTAGACAATATTGCAGGTCCAGACTATTGAATGAAGGCTAAAAGGATAAAACAGTCTAGATAACGCCAGATGACTTTTTGATAGACCCTTTCAGTCAACAAATTGTAACTCGAGAGTAAGAGGCCATTTCTGTGGCTTATGCTTCCGGTGTTACGTCACATGYCGTGGCGTGATGTCACAAAAGAAAGAATTTTTAGGGTTTTCGTTTGTAATATTCTACGATTCCAAACGAAAGGATAAATCATATGTCCGTAAAATGCTGAAATTAYTACGCAAGAAAATAGAGTCGTAAAGCTGAACAAAAACAACAACAAAATATAGCAAAACTATGCCCGTGGGGGAGGGCATCGTAGTTATTWTGAAATTCGATACMCATTTCGATGACAAAGCCACATTCAAAGCTTCGTAACAACTTGAACCTTTTTYGGAGGGGAATAACATTTTCCCAATTGCGAGTTGCAACTCGCTTCAGTAGGAGAAATGAAGTTGAGTTGCAGTTTAGGTTTAATGTGTTGCGGCACGTTTGCAGTCTTTCTGTCCGGAGTTATTTTCTTGGTATTCGTCCGTGTTGAGCTTCAAATAAACAAACGAGATCGCCAACACAAGGATCTGGTTGAAAGACTATCGGCAATTGAGAAGCGTTTTTCTTATGCGATGACTGAAAGCTCTGAAGGTTAGTTAYAAGTCAATGTATGTTAACGATTGTTGGTAAGTTGTATTTACCGGGCTTCCTGTGCCGTGGATAAGCTTTACTCGACGAGGAATATTTAATCTCATTCAGTTTTCTTCCGCGACCAAGTAATTATAGTGAATCCTTTTTTGATTGCATTTCATGTTTTATCAAGCTTCTTCCAATCGAATACCTTTAAGCATATCTTCTGACATAGCGAGGGTCCGTCGGATGGCGCCAGACGATTCATCAGCGCGACCCGACGAAACCAAAGAACACTACGGTGTGGGGGACTTTGGACTTGTGACGACAAAGGAACATGAAAAAGCTTTAAAGAAATTAAGAACAGAACTCGAAATAAAAATACTTGACATGCAAAAATCGAATTTTGTCACAATCAATGAATACAATTTCACACTAAGTACCTTAAAAAAAGACTTAAAGAAAATTCGAGAAAGTACAAGAGAACACACCCAATCCCTTGGAAACTTGACCAGAAAATTACGACATAGTGAAAGAAATGTATNAGCAAGGAATAATAAACCATACCACAACCATTGATCAAAAGTAACAGGTAACATACCTGTACTCATAAGACTACCTCTTACAATGGAGAAATTCGCATATGACAGGGTAGACTGACAATAACAATTATATATCTTTGAAGTCATGGGCATCTTTTGGGTAAACTGTTAGATAAACATGCTCACCTACCCATACTAGTACACAGAAATGACGTATCTTAAGGTCTAGTAAAGGTCAAGCAAGGTGTAGCAGAGAATTATCCTAAAATGTTTGAACATGTCTAGATTTTTATTTTATTGAATGAGCTGAAAATATATTTTTCTGTCAAAAGTATGAGTATACCCCTCCCTCTTAAACAGTGCTTGAAACAAGTTGTGATTATAGAATTTAAAATGCTGATCAAGCCCACACATTATTGCATGACTTGATAGAAAAACTCAATTTTTATAACTTAACCGGATAACAGCTCAGCATACTTTGTAGGATAATCTTTGATTATCAACTAGAGACACACACAAGAAACTGAAAACATGTATACAGTGCGCTTACAAAATAGTTTAAAGTCAAAGTAAACCTACCAAAGCTTCTTTATTATGCAATAATTATTTTCTAAAGGGTTGTCTTAGTTTTACAACCTTTTAACAAGAATGAATTTGTTGATAGCTGCCAGTCAAGATAACTTTAATTGCTGGTTTGGTTACTTAATCTCAGCTAAGCATAATATAATAAATAAACAAACAATAAACTTGTGAAAAACTAACTTTAATGATAAAAAACAGCTAACCTTATATTTTGTTTACATGTTGAATACTTTGATTATTGGTGTCAATTTTGAACTTTCACACTACAGATTAATTTTCTTTGTATATTATGATATTATTATATGTTCTTGTTTTAAGTTTGAAATTCTAGTCTAAAGCAACTTAAAGTATAATAGAATCATTGTAAATATTGACTGTAGAGTCAATGAGTTTTGCTATCAAACCAAAATGATCATGCAACAAGATGGCWCACTTGGGCATAAATTTCTAGCTATTACACATACGACATCTCTAGGTTTTTAAAACACTTATTCACATTCATATTATATTTTCTATCAATAATATTCTTATGTTTAAAAATTCCTCCTTGTGCATTTAAAGGAGCTTAAGGTAAAAGATATAGATTTAGACAAAATAAAATCAATAAATCATACAAGAATTTAAGTCAACATACATTATTTTAAAAACACTTAAAATTCGTCACAGCAGAATATGCATCTATTAGAGTCATATTTCAATAGAAAAAAAAATGATTTCAAATAAATAAATACAAGGGATTGAATGATTTGTGTTTTTTCTTTACAAAGAGAGAGTCAAGAATGTTTTGTGATTCCATTTGAAATACTTAGAGAATTCAACAATTCTCAATAGTAGTGAAAGAAAAACTAATAAAAGAAAATTATTTATCATGTTGCATTTTGGTTAGTCTAATTTTTGAAAAAAAATTAATAATGACAAAAAAAATATCAACAGTATTATACAAAACTATTTTCATAAAATACATAAATAAGCTTTGTTTATGTGACTATTTTGTAGAAATCCCACAAATGTAAGCATTTTACGCCTCATTAAACGTTTGGCAATGAAAACAATGTACAGTTTGTGTGGAAAACAGAGTAACAGAAGATGCTCATGTGTGAAGAGAGAAATGACTTTAGACTCAATATCGACGAATTTGAATTTAAATATGTAGAAAAGAGGCGAAATATGAGTCATTGGCGCGGCAGTCACGCTAAATTTTAACTCCAATAAGCGTATTTGTTTCTTCAACTAATAGAAAGTACAATCTGAATTTTCCTGTGACATATTTCAATGGTTCATCGAATATTTAACACAAACAGTAACGATCAACATGAAAAACATTAGCAACAATTTTGCAAAAATTACACCGAAATCGAGGAAAATATAACTTAGATTTAGCTTGTGTTCAATTTAAAAAAAACAACTAAATAACTTTATTTTGTATTTAAATTCTAGACCTGAAGAAAAAAGAACGATCCATTTCAGAGTGAAATTGACAAATGAAATGAACACTGAAACGGTAAAAATCAAACTACAAGAAGATGGATAGAGAATTTCACAAAATAACGAAATGACAGTCAAAAATTTCATTCAAACTCTAATGTGTGCAGTTAAGCTTGTATGTAAGTTTACATGGTAGTGTTGATCTATTCTAATTTCAAGCGCAAAGAACGGGAAAAAATGAAATATTCTAAAGATCATAAATTTGCACTTTCTACACAAAATTGGAGAAAATAAATAATCGACTAGATCGGKTTTTTTTACGATGAAAGCATATCATAAAACAGGTCTGCGGTGCAATTTGGCCACATTACAGCTTGTAAGGGTACGTTGAAACACAAAATGTTTAGGTAATAATTCTACAAGTTACAACACAATTGTTTGTTACCTCATGTAGCTTAACAATGTTAGGATGGTCGACCAACTTCATGACTTGAACTTCCCTGAACACTTTCTTCAAATTATCTCCATCGAGTTGTGTTTTATCGATGATTTTGACAGCTACCTATATAGCAGGGGAAAGGACAGCAGAGCAACAGATTTAAAGCAAAGTTTTACCGGCTTATGAAACCAAATTGAATTGACAATTAAGTGCAAGATATCTCAACTTTAAGTTCTTGAAATACCACGCATGTTGTACAAAAGCGAAGGAATTATAGTCGCGCTTTCGCTTGTTCTAGTTTTGTCTTCGATTCCTACTTAGYGACTTGAATATATATAGTACACATTGAGCTTTCCAGCGCTTTTCCAGCCCCACAGCCATCAAAAGCAMGGAATACTTACCTTGATTTTAGTAATACAATGTGTAGCTAGCTTCACCACCGCAAAATTTCCCTTTCCGATGGTTTTCTCGATGTTGTAGGGTCCTATTCTAGCTACACTTCCATGACGGCTATGACTTCTCACTTTAGCCGCCATCTTACCATGATTATTACATGCATATTTGAGAAGAAAGTGCTTCTGCGCAAGAGCAGTGACTCCCATGGGGGAGTGGGAGAGAAGGTTTTGTCCAGTTCCAGAGCAAAAAGCGAGGGAAATAAGTTCGTTTTTCGTTAGTGTTTATTTGGCAAACAAACGTTTTATAATCACATATTTTCTATTATTTATCTGGGGATGTTTGAAGTGGTCAAAAAGATGAAAACAAGCTCGACGGATCAGTTCCCGTCAATGGCGGCATCTTGGTAACTTCATGTTATTAGAAAGAAAAAGGATAGGTTTTTAAACCCACAAGGACTTGCAGCCAAGCCAATGCTTAGAAGAGAATCCCAAAACTCAAATTATTGTAGAAAAATTGTATAGTTGCATTGTACTTCCGCGAATTAACTTCATAAAAAATTCATATGTTCACTGACAAGGCTGGAAGCGAAACTTTTAAGATGAAACTTGCGATTTGTAAGAGATAAACGGTAGAAATGACGGACAAAGGAAGTTTCTTCGAAATTTCGTTGCATAGATTAATTAATATCCCCGGAATTCTTGTACTATGAGCACGAGATATAAGAGCCAAGATATCGGTCTAGAGTGCGTCCACTGCGAACTGCCAAATTATCAAATTATTATTGAAAATTGCATCATCTTGTTTTCACGCCATCTTTTTTTTATAATTATAAATTTTTCCATAAAATGTTTTTGTTCAATACCATGTTGAATGATACTACGAAATCTGCATTGTCATCAGTACCGATGAACAGCACGCTTATCGGTTTTATCAGCGATCGCTAAAGTTTAGCATGTGAGCCCGGTATAGCAGGGTAGATCAGTACAGTATCAGAGGAACAACATTTCATCGTTTTGAGAGCTCAGGACTTTGGAATCAGGAGTGCATTTCTCAGAAATCGAAATTAAATATTTTGTTACGATCAAGTCGAGTCCTCACTTGTTCGACCGCATCTGGAAATTTTCGAAAACGCCTGAAAAGACTACGAGCGCGCCGATACGTGTGGACGCGAAAATTCAGTATCCGCAACAAATAAATTGCGGTTATAAACATTTCCGTCATCGTGTGTAGGCAAATAAATGACACCGCTCAGTGAACTGTCAAGATATCTTGTGACTTTCATAAAGATGAGTAAATGTTAAACACATTTTTCATTGTTTAGCTGGAATATCAGCTGTGTCTATGTGATTTGTCTGATATCAAGACCCGCTTCCATGAGAGGTGCGTTGGCGGACTGGTGAATACCGGAAGATCTACAGCGAGGGGACTTCCGCCGCGCACATGTATCAGGAAGTCGAAATCAAGGCTCTGAGGATAGAGACTACAAGAATTAAGAGTTTTGTTTGGCTAGGGTCCTAACTATAAAATACATCTTTTGATCCACGATAAAGTCTCATGAATACATGTTAGCAGGAAATTATATCGACAGATATTTGACATATCTGCAAAAAACAATACATCGGGATTAAAATGGATGAAAAAGAAAAAAGGAAAGTGTTTTTCTTTGCTTGCTTGTTTTCGTTTTGTCTTTAATCAGCTTACGGTTGTCCCTATGCTAACTCAGTCAATGTCGCGCGCCTATTTTATTACAAGTTGTCTTTCTTTTCTGACCGACTTGGGATTCGTAATGTAAACCGATCCTTTAAGGGCGTTAATAAGGTCAGAAATTTCTTTCTGCCCTCCTGTGTAAAACAGGCTTGAAATTTCTCCATTTTCCAAGTCTGACACTCATAACTTGCAGGCAATGTCAGCCCGCCATTGATGAATCGTACTTCAAGAACATAACTAAAAAGTGAGACTTGATCACTTACAGAACTAGACTATTGTAGAATAATCATGAAAGGGCGAGTAACCCTACTTGTATTGACCGCATATTATAGAACTCTCAACATCACGTGATGACAGACGAATACAAAAAAATGAAACACTGGTACTGAATTATCCCAATTTCACTTCATTTTTTCTTTTTTTCACTTATTCGGTTTATTATATATGTGTTAACTTGCTCTTTTATTTAGTCCTTTACTTATATAATGCTGTGGTTCAATTTCTTGATATGTCAATACTGTAAATACGCTAGCCCTCACATTTCACTGACGCCGTTCATCCGATGTCACTAAGGATGGGACGGGGAGGTAGTTTGGACGAGTGTGCTACTTATATGTACTTGCTTCTTATGTCCTTCTCAGCAGCCACAAACACAAGCCATAGATTGTTCATGACTTTGTATTTCTCTTATGCTATTTTTCCGCAGAGTCTTAAGGATTATATAGTCGGTTTATAACTACCTTCATTTTAACGGTACCCTTGGTGCAATAGCTCATCATTCAAAACACAATTCCTTAGTGATTATAAACGACGGTCTAAAGCTGATGGTTGACTGTTTTTGCAGTCTGAACGAAGAGTGGACAATTTATAGTCCACGTTAGTATCGACCGTACAAGTACGAACTCGTCGTGATGCCCCAGGGGTACTTTCCAACAGTTCAAATGAGCTGGAAAAGAGAAACAAGAACCTTTCAGAGTCAAAAATCACAGAAAAATACACTAGCACACAGTACTGACCTTTTACGAGAAAGTTTTCTTTCAGCATCAGGTTTTACAAAGAATATTCCAACAAGAAAAATGACAAGAATGGCCAGGAAAATGATAGTCACACCAATCACCACCCAGACCATTAAAGCAGTATCTACAATAGACACTGAAACATTACTGAAATTGAAATCTAAATCTGTCGAGGGGAAAAAGATTTTAAAATAATCAAGGGAAACTCGTGTGAGTTCAGGCAGTCCTTTGACTCCGCGGTCTCAATATTAGCATTTGTGTTGGTTCAGTAAACATTGCTCACGCTTGTACTCATTTGTACTTGAACTTAAAGTTTTGTGAACCAGATCCAACATCACTTTCGATCATAATTACCCACCACCGATTTTATACAATTGACTATATTATGGAAACATTCAACACTGTCATATGGAAGAACTATTAGAATAGTTATATATGAATAGAAATGTTGAAAGTATGGACCAAATACTAACAGAGTTATGGAGAAATGGCCTTGGTAGCCTCGTTTTGGTGTTTTTTGTGCCTCTTCCCACCCTTATCTTCAAGAGGATTTAATATTTTTTCTGTGAAACTTTCAGAACGTATCTTTAGCTTTGATATCTATCATCTGAGGGTGTTCTTTTGTCAACATTATGAATTTTAYGATAATATTCTAATTTTAGTGTTGGCCCATAATTATGAGTGATCTTACCTCGACATCTGTTTGTGTTGCAAGCTCTCCTCTGCATACAACCATCGCATGTTCCGTTTCTTGTCTGTATTCCTCCACCACATAGTTGAGAACAACTGCTCCACTCACCCCACTCCACTAAAACAAAACCACACAGGGAGGGGAGGGTAGAAATATATTGAAATTCAGTTATTTTGCCTTCATTGTGATTTACGTAAATCAATGTTTAAAAAAATCATACACACTTCTTCATTGCTTATTCTTTAAACATTGATTTTGATCTATTCACTATTGACATATAATGATTATTGGAGAAGAAATTACTCTTCAACTCCGCTTAGATAAATAATAACAAACTKCCATTTACATATGAATCGGGASAGTAGTTTACCTAACGAAAAGACGCCATTAGTCCACAAGTACACAGAACCCAGTAACAAACGCGTTAACCATGAGTTCACGATGCTGCAGTAGTCCATAATTACCATGCTTTCTACAATTTTTAAAAGCTTCAATTCTTCTTTGAATTTCAATTGTGTTCTTCTGATTCGCAAGTTCCGAGGTGACAACGCTTTMCAATCTCACAAGATCGATAAGATATCAAACATGATTTAGACAATATTGCAGGTCCAGACTATTGAATGAAGGCTAAAAGGATAAAACAGTCTAGATAACGCCAGATGACTTTTTGATAGACCCTTTCAGTCAACAAATTGTAACTCGAGAGTAAGAGGCCATTTCTGTGGCTTATGCTTCCGGTGTTACGTCACATGYCGTGGCGTGATGTCACAAAAGAAAGAATTTTTAGGGTTTTCGTTTGTAATATTCTACGATTCCAAACGAAAGGATAAATCATATGTCCGTAAAATGCTGAAATTAYTACGCAAGAAAATAGAGTCGTAAAGCTGAACAAAAACAACAACAAAATATAGCAAAACTATGCCCGTGGGGGAGGGCATCGTAGTTATTWTGAAATTCGATACMCATTTCGATGACAAAGCCACATTCAAAGCTTCGTAACAACTTGAACCTTTTTYGGAGGGGAATAACATTTTCCCAATTGCGAGTTGCAACTCGCTTCAGTAGGAGAAATGAAGTTGAGTTGCAGTTTAGGTTTAATGTGTTGCGGCACGTTTGCAGTCTTTCTGTCCGGAGTTATTTTCTTGGTATTCGTCCGTGTTGAGCTTCAAATAAACAAACGAGATCGCCAACACAAGGATCTGGTTGAAAGACTATCGGCAATTGAGAAGCGTTTTTCTTATGCGATGACTGAAAGCTCTGAAGGTTAGTTAYAAGTCAATGTATGTTAACGATTGTTGGTAAGTTGTATTTACCGGGCTTCCTGTGCCGTGGATAAGCTTTACTCGACGAGGAATATTTAATCTCATTCAGTTTTCTTCCGCGACCAAGTAATTATAGTGAATCCTTTTTTGATTGCATTTCATGTTTTATCAAGCTTCTTCCAATCGAATACCTTYAAGCATATCTTCTGACATAGCGAGGGTCCGTCGGATGGCGCCAGACGATTCATCAGCGCGACCCGACGAAACCAAAGAACACTACGGTGTGGGGGACTTTGGACTTGTGACGACAAAGGAACATGAAAAAGCTTTAAAGAAATTAAGAACAGAACTCGAAATAAAAATACTTGACATGCAAAAATCGAATTTTGTCACAATCAATGAATACAATTTCACACTAAGTACCTTAAAAAAAGACTTAAAGAAAATTCGAGAAAGTACAAGAGAACACACCCAAGCCCTTGGCAACTTGACCAGAAAATTACAACATAGTGAAAGAAATGTATGGAGTCAGTTTGTCACTAGAAAAGAACAAACGGAAACTCTTTTTAACATCTCAAAAGAATTGAAACAAATGAGAGGCAAAGTTCGTGTAGAGAGACCAAAAATCTGCAGCAGTGTTTGTCCTAAAGGGCCACCYGGTAGTCCTGGCCCTAAAGGTAGTAGAGGTGTCAGAGGACCTCAAGGACCACCAGGCGATTTAGGTGCTATTGGGCTWAAAGGGGACAAGGGTGAACCAGGCTCCCCTGGTGTGACTGGAGGGAATGTGAGGAAATTGGATGGTTTGCCGAGTGTAATTGCGTCACCTACACTCATATCAGTCATGGAAAAYCACACTGCTGTGTTTATCTGTGCAACACATGGGGACCCTACACCCGTTGTGACRTGGCGTCGTTTTGGGAATCCTATGTTTGGCGATAGGTAGGTATCTCCCATCATAGATTTTACACTCGACATTATTATCAAATATGGTTTGTTCATGATGTATTTGACAATAGTCTGAAAACAATCAAGTTTGCTTCAAAATGGTTTTATTACCAGGTACGAGTTTACATCAAGAGGAGAGCTCAAAATACACAAAGCTATTTTTGACGACAAGGGAATGTAYGAATGTGTGGCGAGAAACCATCTCGGTATTGCTGAAGCATTTGTGCAGCTGCTTGTTCAAGGTAYCGAAAGTCTCATCGCAAGGCTTGATGAAATATCCACTTTGTGAATAAGAATTCAGGTTTTAAATTTTGACCTCGGCTGCGACTCGTGCCAATCTAGCAGACCTGTCTAGTCGCGCGCGCTAATATTTCTTTCCACCCACTATCTACTTTACATCTTTTAGCTCCACCAAGAATCAAACCACTATTTCAAGGTCCAATATTCGTCAGGAATGGTGGAATAATTAAACTTCCTATCTGTTCAGCCGATGGCTATCCTCCAGCTATAGTCCAGTGGACTAAGTACCATGGCAARATTCCTACTTCACGCGCGATAGCTCAAGATGGAGAGCTTACAATCTTTAACTCTAACTCCTCTGACTCAGGAATGTACGTGTGTAAGGCGAGTAATGAGATTGGTCAGGCTGAAGCCGTCACACAAGTTGTCGTTGCATCTTTACCTAAATTTACAATCAAACCGCCGACCAACATGAGTGTGCATGCTGGTGATATTATGCGCGCCGACTGYAGTGGTTCCCATGATCCAACGCTCAAGGTYACATGGTTAAGAATGAATGGTCTCGTACTAGGCCATCGCACCAATGTCAATAGCAACGGCACATTGACTATTACCCAGGTCACAACGTCCGATAGTGGCGAGTATGTCTGTGAACTGAGCACCGATGGCGGGATTTTTAAGACAGATGCGGTGCTAAAGCTTAGTGTGGTGACAAGTAAGTGTGATRTTAACATAATGGCCCTCTTTTGAAGGATTGAAGCTGAACTGCTTTTGATTCCGTCTGTTCTCAGAAGAATCAAAGAAAAAAGATTGATGATTGATAAAARCTGTTGTTTTAGGGGGAWTGAGACCCGGTGTATGTCCGGTTCCTTTACCAATYGACTCTTGTCCCAATAATACCAAAGATGAATGCAACGTAGATCAAGATTGCACCGAAGGGAAAAAATGCTGCTCTGATTCCTGCAACAGACAGTGCGTTGCTCCTCCACCAAGTGAGTTGTTCACAAATCGTACACACCCTCCTCCCAAAAAACATGTTGACTGTAACCTTCTTCCTGCAGGTACTGTAAATTAACAATTTGACTTGCCTACAACTCGGCATTAATGTTGACCGCTTAATCAGGTTTTTAGATATCGAAATTTCTTTAAAATGCCCGGTTAACATAGGATGTGTGCCCCGCTAAAAAGATTTTTCTGTTTTCAGACAGAGACTGTGCAGATATGTACATGGCCGGAATTAGGAAGAGCGGAGTTTACACTGTAAAACCTGACGACCAAGGACCTTTTCAAGTCTATTGCGACATGGACACTGATTCAGGTGGATGGACAGTCTTTCAGCGTCGAAAGGATAACCTCGTCAACTTTTTTCGTGACTGGAAADACTACAAAGTAGGTTTTGGTGACTTAGAGGGAAGCTTTTGGCTTGGATTGGAAAAGATACACCGTCTTGTTGCTACGACTGAGAGCTCTCTCCGTGTTGACCTAGAGGACTGGGATAAAACYAAGGTGTATGCTAAGTATGTAGGCTTTCGTATTGAAGACGAGAGTAAAAAATACCGGTTAACAGTGATAGGCTACAAGGGAACTGCCGGAAACTCACTAWCATATCATAATAACATGCCTTTTAGTACTAGAGATCGAGACAAYGATAAATGGCCAGGAAATGAATGTGCCAATGATCTGACTGGTGCCTGGTGGTACAATAACTGCCATGCATCTAATTTAAATGGCATGTACTATGGCAATATCAAAGACTATGGAGGAGTGGGGTGGGCAGCTTTTCGACACAATTTATCATTAAAATTTGCAGAGATGAAGGTGAGACCRGACTCATTTGCCGAGGGTGATGAATGATTCACAGATATWATGGACGATTTTCTTTTGAAATAGATAAATACCTCAAAATGACAAGCTCCTGAAGGTTACATTTTTCACTATAAAGCAATAGTTTGCATGACATTTTACCTACTTTTGACAAGCTGMAATTTTGTTGTGTTACTGCACAGTTTTAAAGGYGATAAAGTAACATRCATGTAYTGTATGTCATTTAAGGCGTCAATACAACCCCAGTGCTACTTGATATATGCTTGTAACCATAGCAACAATAGCTCACAAGGGACTGGTTCCAAGTTTGTGAATATACCTGCCATATATGGGTATTTAAGATTTTTATAAAAGTATCTGTGGTCAACACTAAGCATCTTCAAACTGATCTTCTTCATCCATTTCAACATCTAGAACATAAAACAATGAATGGGGTTAGCATAATATAGTAAAACAGAGCAGATCTTGTTTTATTCTTATGGAAAGCAAGCATTTATTATGATGAATAAATAGAAATACTAATATGTAGAGGAGAAAAATAAAATACTTTGCATAAACGGATCATGGAATACTGCTAAAAATCAATAACTTGTTTTGTTCAACTTTCATAAATGGCACCACAATGTGGCAGCCGGACTACTGTGTGGATGAAACATGAAAACAGGGTATAAAAGGTAAGACTCTGTTTGTAAACAGACTGCTGGTGTCATGCTTTGACAGAAATTAAGAARCTACCTATAGARCTTGTGAAAAAWAAAATCCRAATTTTGTAACCCTATTACAGACAAAAACAATAATTCCCCTAGTCTGTGAGATATTGCCATTTTTGAAAGTTGTCGATGGATTATGCACAAAAGGATTTTACATGCAGCTAAATGRCATTATTGAATCTGAGTTTGCAGATAGGTAAATRGATAGCTAGATAAATACCAGAATGGTGGTTTTGTCCATTTTGTCCTGCTCCATTTGTTGATGTATTTATCACCATTGTTTGTGGATCACTTTGTTCTTGGAAKACACCTTCCAGTCTTTGTAGAGTTGCCTATTAATACAAAATAACACCTCTATCAAAACATTGAATCTAATGACATGCTAAGCAATGGACGCGAAAATATTGAACTACCTGCCCCTCTTCTGTTAATTCTGCTTCATCTTCATTAGTGAAATATTCGCCTCCAAATCCTACAATAAATATAGGATATCATCTATCTTCACATATTCAAAAAAAGTTTATTATCAGTTTATTGATTATTATTTGATTGACAGATCAATGCAATTATATTATTCTATCAATGCTTCATCATTYATTCAAATAACTATATAATCACCAATTTGGTCAGTCTGCCATTTTTTCAAWTATTGGTAGATTATTAAAAACTGATTGTCATTATTAAGTGACTGACTTGATTGGATGTTGATGGGTTGATTTGAAGTTTGCTCGATTGACACTTTGATTGATTGGTTGACAGGCTGCTTGATTGACACACTTATTTGGATGATTGATTGACATACCTGCCATCTCTTCTTCTGCCTCTTCTTGTGGGTCTGGATGCAAGGCCTGGCAGTCTGACAGCACATTAAATATCTGCTGCACTAATTATCCAAAAAGAAAAATCAAAACATGGTAAAGAGAACATTGATGAACTAAAATGACATGTTSACTTACAGCTTTCTTTGTCTTCTGGGACAAATCTTACTTCACCAACTTTTGCATCTTCATCATCCTCACTGCAGTCTGAAGAAATAAATTCTGAAATGCTTTAAACCATCAAAGCTGTTTATCAGCCAATCATTCTCATTATATGTCAGTGCTCCTGATGATACCAAAGTAAGCATTCAAGGGTAATCCATGTTAAAGAGGCTAACTGACATATCAGATGTTGTACATCCAGCCCTACACCTCCCCCCTGCATCAGTCACTTGAAACCACACACCCCCAACTCCCAGGGAAYACTGGTTTTGACATTTAACATTKTAAAGTCCTCACATTTCCTCCCCAAGAGGACAAAATGTCRGATGTTGATTCTCCAGCTATAATGTATTAATTCCTGTGCCAGGCTTTATTACCTGACTGATGCACAATGACGGGGTATCACAGTGTGCATTCATTTTCTCACCTTCAAGTGGTGCGTCGAGCATACAATAAATACACTCATGRGGGAACTTTGAAGTATCTTTACACACAGCATGAACAGAGATAGAAGGATATTCCAAAGAAAAGCCTCTTCCTTCATCATTACTCCATGACAGTCGTCTAAAAATAACAATGTTATGAAAACATACAAAGATGATAATGATGATGATGATACTGAAGTTTTAAGCTCATTTCAAAACAGAATACTCACTCTTCAGTAACATAAAGTGTACCATTACCAAGACAATTTTCATCTATGAATGCCTGTGTATTGTTTTGTACGTGTCTTACACCTTGAGAAGGAGGAGGAAGCGAGCTCATGATCACCATCTTTGCAAACGTTTGTAGTAGTCACGACTTTGTCTAACTTTTGACAGACAAGAAAAAAATACCAGTCTCTTAGTAGATATATGTCTTCAAAAGTGCATAGCTTTGAAAAGCGTAATTATTCGGCCTTATAACAGAATGAGTAATAACTGAACAAAGGCAATATTTTATGTCTTCCAAACGTCACTCTCACGATCGCACGTGTAGAAAATAAAAATGTACAGTAACGACCGTGAGGGAACTGGARCACCACAGGAACCCCATACATCTAAACTATTCCGGATTTTGTTCTTATTCGTGTTGTTTCGAGTCCTGTTGTTATCGTTAAAACTAATTCTCTTTTAAATGTGCTCTATGTAAAGGWTTAATWTTTTAGATGCCTTTTGCACATTATTTAGCATCAAATTTCATTTAGACGTTAATCCGCAGTGCAATTTATCGCAGGCTCAGGGTCAAAAACCAAAATGGCGGATGAGGTCACTTTARAACAAGTAGAATATTAAAATTATAATCATCGTTATAATTTGTAAGATGAGCGACAACAATGGTTCTGAAAGTCCAACAGGCTACGCTGCAAGTATATTCCTCCCACAAGTATTTCGTAACATGAAGAATGCAAAATTATTCGCTGTTGATATAGGTGAGAAAGAACATCAAAACAACAACAATTGTGGACACTTCTTTGCTATTTTAGGCTTGATTACAAATCAAGAAAGATAAATAACATCGAATTCTGAATCTATGATTGCGCAATTGTGACGGCTAAAGAAAACAGATTTTAGTATTTTTTTTTAATTGATCAGTTATTACTGAGATTGATTGTAAGACAAGCTCAAAGTTTACACAATTAAAACACAATACGAATTTATTCACGATCTAGCAATAATGTTATTATTTATTCATTCATCTTAACAGGGAATCCATGATTGTTATCATTGTTGATATTGTAAACAATAACATTTGCATTATTGTAAATTGAAATATAATAACATTCAGTAACAATGTCTTATTTTTTCAGACAGGTYTAATGATAAATTATTCATTCATTCAATAAAGAGGTTTCATTGTTCATATCAATAATACTATTATAAACAAAAATACATTGAAAATGGTTTTATAATTCCATCAGGTGGATCCCTTGCCAAAGTTGCATACATGTCTGACATACATCGTATCAGAAAAAGGCATCTGAGTTTCTCTGGAGATGATGGAGTATGTTTGCTTGAACTTCATTGGAATTATTATTAAACTAACAAGATAGTTGCCCAACTAAAAGTTTTCTGTTCACTGTATTTTTAGCACACAGAATCAAGTACTGCAGTCCCAATCTATGAAATAACAGATGAGCAAGAATCAGGAAGGAGACTTCATTTTATTAAATTTGAAACCAAATATTTGGAAGGATGTGTAAATTTTATTAAAGAGAAATTAGAAAAACAAGATGATACTGTTAGAGTACTAAAAGCAACAGGTAAGGTGTTTGAATGTCCTGGCATAGCCTTATTARATATAAAAAACACTTTKGTTTGCATCTTAAATTTCTAGGTGGAGGTGCACACAAATTTAAAGATCTTTTGACTGAAAAATTAGGAGTGAGGTATGAAAAACAAACAATGTTTTGTTTGACATTTTAGTCAGTGATATTATTTTTGATATTATTATTTTTAGTCAATGATATTATTTAATTCCATTCGTTCATTCACTTCTTCATCCAGAGTCATTTTTTCTYTCTTTTAGAGTTGAGAAGGAAGATGAGATGCAATGTTTGATCAGAGGGTGTAATTTTGTCCTCACTACTCTGAAGGATGAAGTTTATGAGTTCCGACGAGATGGAGATCCTCAATATGTATTCCACCATCTTGATCCTGTARACATCTWTCCGTACTTATTGGTGAACATTGGCTCMGGAGTTAGCATATTACAGGTCTTTATGGACTTTTATATGAAAAAAAAATGTTTATCTACTATTATTTAGGTTATTATTCATTGTGAAATTATCTTTGTCATCATTATCACATGTGCAGGTTTGCATTATTTCAGGTCAATTCARAGGACGATTTTAAGAGAGTTGGTGGCACAAGTATGGGTGGAGGTACATTCTGGGGACTAGGCTCTCTCCTTACTAGTGCCAAGGTATRGTGTTTATGTAGATAGCAATTCTGTAATTAAGTGATGTAACAGGCACAAAAGAAATATTCTTATTGAAAAACGCAATGAATAAAACATTCTTCTGTGCTATGTTTATTATCTCAGTGCCAATTCATATGCCTTTTTTCCACTGGAATTGAGCATTGCAGACTCTATTTAAAGTCTAYAAGCAAATTCTTAATTAGTAGAAAGTATAGAAGTGATTCTGGGCTGTACTGATGTCATGTGATGTTTGAAAATAGAGGTCTGATCTGATTACTTTAATAGGGTTTTGATGAACTTTTGGAACTTGCAACTCAAGGACAACACAAGAATGTAGATATGCTGGTAGGTCATTACTGTGATCTGGGTTTCAAATGTATAATGGAGTACAATGCAAGACAATGCACATTGAGTTTGTTTGGGGTGCAACCTCACAGAGGACCCTCTATTGGGAGTGATGGCCCATACTCTGACAGTTTTAGGTTTATACAAAAGTTACTAAGTCCCATTTTTAATGATGATTTTTATTGAAAGGTTAAAGACATCTATGGTGGGGCATATGCAGACATCGGTCTTCCTGCAGACCTTACAGCTTCAAGTTTTGGTAAAGCAGTAAGATCTTTCAGAGACAGTCAAGATGGTGGTGAGTACAATCTAGAATAATATTTCATGATTGTATATGATGATTGATATAATGAACTTTGGTTGTTTTTTTTTTTTTTTTTTGTAGACCATAAATTTGCCGATGCTGATATTGCAAAGTGTTTACTACAAATGATTAGCAACGATATTGGGCAGGTATGTTCTCAATGAATACATGAATAAACCGATAGAAAAGTAAATGAAGAAATAAGAAATACTTTGAGAAAATGAATAAATGAATAAAAAAATGAATTAGATGAATGATGAAGWGGACGAGTGAAGGAATGAGTAGATTTATAATTGCAAATTGCGTGATATGAAATTAAAAGTTATATGTTATGAAACAGTTGACTACAAAACTAAATAATTGACTGGATTTCAGATTGCATCCCTCTATGCTCGTCTAGCAGGAATCAAGAAGATATTCTTTAGCGGTTACTTCATACGTGGTATACAGACTACAATGCATACGATTACTTTTGGCATTAATTACTGGTCAAAGGTATGTAGTAAACTGTCACTATAGAACAACAATCGCTRCTTGCTGTCAAGTCTTAACWCGCCTAAACTTTAGAGCTTTTGACAAGGTTGTCGTTTTGTGCAGGGTGAACAGCTCGCTTTGTTCTTACGTCACGAGGGTTATCTTGGAGCTATTGGCGCGTTTYTGAAAGGAGCAGAAGAAGAAGGGACTAAGAAAATAGGTAAAACAGGTGATTTCAAGGCAGCCTATAAACCCTTTGATATCATGTTKTTTTGTTTTGTTTTGTCTGTTTTTAGGTTTGTCACAGCGATTTTTATGTTGGGGTGAAAACTATGCTGGCAGTTCAGGATTACCGTCTGGTCACCCTTTCCCGGTCCCTCAGCAAAGTAAAACTAACGCCACGGGAGCAGTAAAAGCTACAAAAARCAAGGAGGAGTTTCCCGAGGTGCGCGTTGTCCGCAGTGCAATGACAAGTTCACCAAAAACTAGAACAACAGTGACTACTGTAACAACAACAACAACAGGAACAACAACAATAACAATGTCAGAAACATCAACTCTTAAAAGAACTGCTACTTTACCTGAAACGACAGCAACTGCAAAAACGACATTRATTGACTGCGCAATGGCAAGAAAAATACTCAAAAAAACTATAAACGCTGTAAGAACACTAAACCAATCCTAAAAATATTAAAATCTTACGTCAAACGATAAAACGGTGMAAAACTAAAGTTTTAAACGTGATGCATGTTCTTTACTGAATAAAATCACATTATTACTTAAATAAAAAAGTAATGATTCCAAATCAATTTTCTAAACGTACTGGATAAAACTMATTGTGTAATGTAGATACTGAGTGTATTCCTACTACTCTATTACATACTGTTTTTTAAATTGCAGTGTGATGTTCTCGAACTAGACCAGATTGACCGTCARCTYGTGATTTTCCCTCTACTTGCATCACCTTCAGAATACACTCCCGACACTGAAGACCTAACGGCCGATATAAAAGCAAGGACGTACTGGTTAAACTGCTTTAAAGAAGCTTTGAATTCTGTAGTGAAGAGAGCAGTCGCCAGTCAACCACAATCACCGGATGCAGAAGAAAGAGGCGAGAAGTTTCGTGGAAAATATCTGAAGTTTTTAGAAAACTTTTCAAAAAAGCCATTGTAAGTGGTGTATTTGTTTGTTGTGGATGATTTTGTTGTTGTTGCTATTGTGTATGTTATTAATGCCTCTTTTTTCTTGTTTTAGTTCCTATGGCTCACTCACTGTAAGAAGTTTACTGGATACGCGGGAACAGTGCTTGGAAGAGTTTCAGTTTTCTGATCCTTACGCAGAGGTTGGAAAATCAATTTTTGACTTCTCCTGTCACAAAGCTTTTGCTGTGGAAGCAATTGAACTTCAATCTAGCAAACTGTTCTCTGTCTTTTACCAGGTAAAAAAGCAAGAAAACCAAGACGCCATAAARCAGTTTTCTGAAAGACTGCAGGAGATTGACAAACTCRATGGCGACGAGCGACAAATAGCACTAGTTCGTGGTATCTTGGCTGGGAATGTATTTGACTGGGGGGCTAAAGAAGTTGCACAGTGAGGACATTGGATACAATTCTATATAGACTGTTTCTTTTCTGTGTTTGGCACAAATGTGTTAAGTAAATTGCACTAGAAAGGGAAGGTCTCTTTGYGATTGTTTCTTTTTTAATAAAAAGTCGTTTTACTTTACAGGCTTATGGAGAAAAGTTCACTTGGTTTCCAAGCAGCAATGAACAAGCTTCAAGGTAAAGCATAAAACAACAACGCGAGTCAATGTCACTTTGAAATACTGATGGCTTTATCTTTGATTGCAGAGCGGCCATGGTTGATAGACGATCTCGATCAATGGATAAACAATATTAATGTAAGTTAAATCTATCTCCAACCCCCGGGGGGGGGACTCCATAATATCAAAGGGCGGGGGTCCTCGGCGTCCCTTTTAGGGTTTGAAATCAGTATTTTGGTCCCGCTTAGGGTGATCATGACAAGAATTCCTACCAACTGAGTTTTGTGGTCCCTTTTAGGGTATACGGCGACCCTAAGCAGTCATAAAATGGCAACGTCGTCATAAACTCAATACGAGCCGACGGTGTTCGATGATTGTGTAAAAACACAAATAAAATCGGTAAACCAAAACAAAATGACCTGTTATTGATTGGTCCCTTTTAGGGTTGAAATTTCAGCACTGCCACGCCCATCATCTCACAATAGAGGTCCCTTTTAGGGGTCATTTTCACAATCTCCGCCGAGGACCCCCGCCCTTTGATATTAGGGAGTCCCCCCCCCGGG